CATTCCAATTGCCAGTCATGCTATTTACACAGAAATTTTACAATATCTCAATTTGAGCTTTGAATACCTTGCTGATCCCAACTTAGCCAACGAGTTAAAGATTAAATTAATTTACCAATGGCAAGATATTCATAATTTAGAAACTGTCGCCGCATATAAATCATTAGAAAAAATTAAGACCACACTCAATCATTATCGGCAAAATTCCTATTCAGAATACTATTTTAATTTAATTCAACTGGGTGAAAATCAACGGATTGAATTTAAAGAACGTACCACAGACCTATTAACTAACCGCAAATCAGATAAATGGGTCAAAGCGTGCTTTGCATTTATGAATACCCGCAATGGCTATGTCTTTATAGGCGTTGCTGATGATTTAACCATTGTAGGGATTGAAAATGAACTTGCGGAACACTTTAATAATTCACTCGACTTAATGAAGCGGAGTTTGATTGATAAACTGGCACACGAAAGTAACAAAATTTCAAATATTTATACCACACTAGAAGAAATACAGATTCAAGGAAAAACCATATTGGTCTTTAAATGTAATAAATCGGACCGTCCGTTATATTACAAAGGCGAATTGTTCATGCGCACCAATGGACAAACAACACGTGTTCCACCTGAACTGATTGAAAGTTTTCGTGTAGAATTTTATTGTTAGCATTCAATAGTTAAAATCTCAGCCTAGAAGAATCAAAAATATGGATTATCCTCAGTTTAAATATCATCCCAACGCATACAAACTTGATCTGTTTGAAAAAGAAGATGGTATTTGTTCAATTTGCAATCAACAACGTGATTTAAAGTACGTATGTTCTTTCTATAGCATAGATGAACCCGATTATATCTGTCCGTGGTGTATTGCCAATGGTGCAGCAGCGCAAAAATACGATGGAGAATACAATGACTATTGTGGCATTGAAGGTATTTCTTCAAACCCAAATGTTCCATCCGAAAAAATCAACCCTGAGTTTTTAGATGAAATCTGCTTAAAAACGCCAAGTTATCATAGTTGGCAACAAGAAGTTTGGCTGGTGCATTGCAATGAACCATGTCAGTTTATCGCTTATGCGGATAGTGAAATGCTTAAACCAATTTGGGATGAGGTCAAAGCCGATATCGAAGAAAATGGTTATCCAGTAGAGCTTATCCAAGATCACCTCAGTATCGACGGTGATTTAACAGGCTATCTGTTTCAATGCATTCATTGCCAACAACATCGCTTACATATAGATTGTAGTTAAATACATAATCAAACCTTATAAGTTAAACCTTATAGCTTTGGCTAAGTAACTGGCTTAAATGCTGTTTAATGCCCTGCCATTCATCTTTGATTATGCTGTATATAACAGTATCGCGAACAGTTCCATCTTTTCGTAGCGCATCTTGACGTAGCACACCATCATAATGCGCACCTAGACGCTCAATGGCACTTTGACTTTTAATATTGCGAATATCCGTCCTTAATACAACCTAGTTGGCTTGTAGTTTTTCAAATGCGTACTCAAGCAACAACAACTTACAATTGGTATTGATATGACTGCGTTGTGCTGATTGTGCATACCATGTATAGCCAATCTCAACACGGCGCACCTCCCAAATAAAATCGCGAAAACTGGTGGTTCCTACAATACGACCATTCCGCTGATTTAAAACAACAAAAGGTACGCGTATTCCCAAAGATTTTTGTTCAAGTGCCTTGGCAATATAAGCCTTGATCTGAGAATAATGTGGAACCGATGTATATTCCAATTCCCACAATCGACCATCTTTACATACCTCAACTAAAGCATTTTCATGTTCTATTTGTAGTGGTAAAAGCTGCACTTGATGGGTTTGTAATGATGTATAAAGCGTTGAAAAGATATCTTGATTCATAGCAATTACACCAATGTAAAGAATGCTCCTCCATTGTCCGCTATGTTTTTGAAAGTTTTATGATCAAAAGATGAAATCACCATGACGATCTTTCAAATGATTTCAAAGGCATTTGCATGCCCTTGAATCGAATATAATTCAACAAAATAGTTATTTTTTATAATGTGCCAACATGTCTTGTAAATGTGCTTTTACATTGTTCCACTCACCTTGCGAAATACTGTACAACACCGTATCTCGAATCGTACCATCTTTACGCATTTGATCACCCCGAATAATGCCATCTTTTTTAGCACCTAAACGTTCAATGGCTTTTTGGCTTTTAAAATTAAATTGATCAGTCCGCAACGCCACGGTATTGGCTTGAAGTTGTTCAAAAGCGAACCCTAATAGCAATAGTTTACAGCTTGTATTGACATGGGTCCGTTGTGCCGATTGTGCATACCATGTATAGCCGATTTCAAAACGTTTTACGTTTAATAAAATATCGTGATAACTGGTCGTTCCCAAGACTTTCCCTGAGCTTTGCTCTATGACAACAAAGGGATAACGGCTGCCCTGTGCTTTTTGGATCAGTGCTTTTTCAATATAATTTTTAACTTCTGTGTAATGTGGTGTAGAGGTAATTCGTAAATTCCACAATTCACCATCACGACACGCTTCAGCGAGTCCTTGCTCGTGTTCAAAAGACAGTGGTACTAAGCGAATATTATTTAGTTGTAAATCTAAATGAATAAATAATTGTTCAAATGCATCCATCTCATATCCACCAAGTTAATCTATAAATTTACCGTTTGATGTCATTGTAAAGTGATCAGCAATCGTATTAACAGCGAAGCTTTCTTGCTGTTAAGTCATTATATTACCAAGGCTAAACATACCACCCCAGCCAAACCTAAAACCAGTCCTAGAGCGGTAATCACTTTAAGCTTTTCTTTAAAAATTAACAGCCCTGCAATGACCCCAAATAACACCACAAGGATATTCATCCCTGCAAAAACGATGGATGGAGAATCTTTTAATAAAATATGCGCTTTGACATATAAAGCAATATTGGCAAAATTTAAAATCCCCAAGGCCAAACCAGCAACAAAGTTCTGAAGCATCCACTGAGTTTTTCGAATCAGTAAATAACCGACAGATAATAGGAATGAACAGATAAACATCAAGGTTAATGTAACTGGAAACTGTAAACCCAGGCTGGTTGTGTATTTCAATAAAACATCAACCAAAGCATAACCTACCCAAACACTGAGTAAATAAAGGATCCCTTTCTGATTGAGGGATGAATTTGATGGACTCGATTGGGAAAGTACAATACATAAAACTGCCACGATACCCAAACCAATACCAAGCATTTTTAATTGGCTAAATTGTTCTTGGAATAAAAAATATGCAGCCAATAATGATAAAACCACAGATAATCGCTGTGCAATTTCAGTTTTTAAAATTCCTGCGCTATGTAATGATTTAGCTAGACATAAAAAAATACTGGGTAATACAACACCTAAACCAATAATCAACCACCACGGTGTATTTGAAATTGAAATATGGGCCAAATCAGGCTTAAACCAGATATAGCTCAATACACTGGCGATTGCATAATTCCAAGCAATCATTTGCAATGCATCAAAACCTTTTTGTTTGGTCCATTTTAAAAGCATTGAAACCAGTACACTACAAAGTGCTGCTGAAAATATGAGTTCCATAATTTATTTCTTATCTCACCAACCATTGCAAAATTTATGCGGAACCAAGTCCCTATTATTCAAGAAAAAGCCCACTAGCGTGAGTGGGCTTTTAGGTAATCAACAACCATCAAAGATTATTTATAACGATCAACCATTTTTTCTAAAGAAATTGGGCGAATCTTGTCTGCATTACCCGCAGTACCAAATGCTGTATAGCGATCTACACAGATTTGTTTCATTGCTTCAACAGTTTCACCGAAGAATTTACGTGGGTCAAATTCACTTGGTTTTTCAGCCATCATACGGCGCATTGCACCTGTAGATGCTAAACGTAAATCTGTATCGATGTTGATTTTACGTACACCATGCTTGATTGCTTCAACCAACTGCTCAACTGGAACACCATAAGTTTCTTTGATGTCACCACCATATTGGTTAATAATCGCTAACCATTCTTGTGGTACCGAGCTTGAACCATGCATAACAAGGTGAGTATTTGGAAGTGCCGCATGAATTTCTTTAATACGGTCAATTGCCAAGATATCGCCTGTAGGTGGACGAGTAAACTTGTACGCACCATGAGAAGTACCGACTGCAATTGCTAAAGCATCTACATTGGTATCTGCAACGAATTGACGAGCTTCTTCAACAGAAGTGAGAAGTTGAGAATGATCAAGTACACCTTCTGCACCAACACCATCTTCTTCACCAGCCAAACCTGTTTCAAGGCTACCTAAACAGCCAATTTCGCCTTCTACAGAAACGCCACATGCATGTGCCATTTCAACAGTACGACGTGTTACATCAACATTATATTCATAAGATGTTGGTGTTTTACCGTCTGCACCTAAAGAACCATCCATCATTACAGATGAAAATCCAAGCTGGATCGAACGTTGACAAACATCTGGGCTTGTACCGTGATCTTGATGCATTACCACTGGAATATGTGGCCATTCTTCAATTGCAGCTAAAATTAAATGACGTAAAAATGGAGCACCTGCATATTTTCGTGCACCAGCAGAAGCTTGCACAATTACAGGTGAATTTGTTGCGTCAGCGGCTAACATAATTGCGCGCATTTGTTCTAAGTTGTTCACATTAAACGCTGGAACGCCGTAACTATGTTCACCGGCATGATCCAAGAGTTGGCGCAATGAGATAAGAGCCATAATATCCTCCCAAGTAATGCCCCATATTCTACATGTTGCTTTATTTCAATTCAGCAACAATATTGACTATTTCATAAAAAATCCCCGCGTTAGCGAGGACTTTTAACAAATAACAACATTTAGAAAGATTATTGAGCTTTAGCTGCTTCTTCTTCAGTCGCTGGTGTAGCCGCATCCGCTGGAGCATTTGCTTTTTCAGCTGGAACATCTGTATTTTTTTCATCCAAAACAGGCTGATCAAGCGCATCAATCACAGCTTGTTGTTCTGCAGATGTGTTTGCTGATTCTGCTGAAGCAGCTTCAGAAGAAGATGTTTGTTCTGAGGCTGGTGCTTTTTCTTGTTTAGAACATGCAGTAAATGCCAAAGGAGCAATAAGAAGTGCTGCAAGTGTAAATTTAAATTTCATCACATTTCCCAGTGTTGGTGATTGGATTTGATCTAGTTTATTGCAGTTATATTTCATTTTTATTACTTTACAATGAATCTCTCAGATAAAAAAGGCTGACACGAGGTCAGCCTTTCATATAAACGTCATAATTAAAATAATTTTTCAATTAAGCACGTTCAAGCAATACCGCTACAGCTGGAAGTGTTTTGCCTTCGACAAATTCAAGGAATGCACCACCACCAGTTGAAATATAACCAATTTTGTCTGCAACTTGGTATTTATCAATTGCTGCCAAAGTATCACCACCACCAGCAATAGAGAATCCTTCAGATTCTGCAATCGCTAAAGAAAGTGTTTTTGTACCTTCGCCAAATTGATCCACTTCAAACACGCCAACTGGACCATTCCAAAGGATCGTTTTAGACGTTTTTAAGATTTCAGCAAAAGCTTTCGCAGTTTCAGGACCGACATCCAAGATCATGTCATTGTCTGCTACATCTTCAACTTTTTTTACTATTGCTTTAGCATTTGCCAATGAACCTAAGAAATCTGCAAAATCGATTGCAGAAGCATCTGCCACAACAACATCGGTTGGAAGTGGAACAGATACTTTTGCCGCAATCGCTTTCGCTGTGTCAATCAAATCATGTTCACACAATGATTTACCGACATTGAAGCCAGCTGCAGCTAAGAATGTATTGGCAATACCACCACCAACAATCAATTGATCACAAATATCAGAAAGCGAAGTTAAAACATCAAGTTTAGTAGAAACTTTAGAACCAGCAACAATTGCAACCATTGGTTTTTCAGGTGTTTGTAATGCACGACCTAAAGCATCTAATTCAGCTGCAAGCAAAGGGCCTGCTGCTGCAACTTTTGCTAAGCGTGCTACGCCTTCAGTTGATGCTTCTGCACGATGCGCTGTACCAAATGCGTCCATCACAAATACATCACAAAGCGCTGCATATTTTGCTGAAAGTTCAGCATTATTTTTCTTTTCACCCACATTGAAACGACAGTTTTCAAGTAATACCACTTGCCCTGCTGCAACTTCAACACCATCTAAGTAATCTGTAAATAATTTAACGTCTTGACCAAGTGCCTCAGTTAAATAAGCAGCTACAGGAGCTAATGATTGTTCCGCTTTTGGCTCACCTTCAACGGGACGACCAAGATGAGAATACACCATGACCGCAGCACCTTTCTCAAGTGCCAATTTAATTGTCGGTAATGCAGCACGTAAACGTGCATCACTTGTAATCACACCATTTTTAACAGGTACGTTTAAGTCTTCACGAATAAGTACACGCTTGCCTGCTAAATCGAGGTCAGTCATACGCTGAAAATTCATGTATAGCTCTCTTATAGATATTAAAAATCGCGTAGATTCTAAATGATTACACAAAAAAAGGTTAGATACTTTTGTAGAAAAGCTGTAGAAAAGTTGAGATTTGATTATTATAGGGCGAACTTTTAAATTCTATACGCTTATGTCTTTTCATCCCGATCCTAAAATCAATGGTTTAAATGTCTTAGGTGAACCTTTAGCAAGTTGTTGTTTTTCCCCAATCACAGGTTATTTTCGTAATGGTTTCTGCCATACAGCAACAACCGACCTCGGTCAGCACACTGTATGCGCTGAAATGACTTCAGAATTTTTAAATTTTTCACAAAAAGTGGGAAATGACCTAATTACACCGCTGCCAGAACACGGCTTTCCGGGACTACAACCTGGTGATTTTTGGTGTTTATGTGTGACGCGTTGGGTTGAGGCCTATCAAAACGACATGGCACCTCGTGTAAAACTACAAGCCTGTCATCAAGCTGTTTTGGCGTATGTTCCCTTAGATCTCTTGATGGAATATGCAGTATAACTAGGCATGAATTATTCAAAGATGAATCACCCTGAAATTATTTTGGCTTCATCGAGCCAAACCCGTAAAGATTTAATGAATCGTTTGCGCTTAGACTATCATTGTATCTCTCCTGAAATCGATGAATCACCACAGGGTGAATCTCATGCCGATGACTTGGCTAAGCGCTTGGCTTTTGAAAAAGCCCAAGTCATTGCACAAGATCATCCAAATGCAATTGTGATTGGGTCAGATCAGGTGGCTTGGCGTGAACATGCACCACAAGATTTTATTGGTAAACCTCTATCTGTAGAAAAAGCCATTCACCAGCTACAAGCCAATTCAGGCAAAAATGTCTTTTTTAGTACTGCCTTAAGTGTGCAACATTTGGCTTCTGGTTTTGAACAAACCTTAGTTGAGCATTATCATGTGAAATTTCGTGACTTAACTTTGGATGAAATTGAGCGTTATATCGAAATTGATCAACCTCTGCATTGTGCGGGTAGCTTTAAGTGTGAAAGTCTTGGTATTAGTTTATTTGAGCAAATGATTGGGCAAGACCAAACCACTTTGATGGGTATGCCAATGATTCAGTTATGTGGAATTTTAAGGAAGTTGGGCATCCTGCTACCTTAATTTCCACATTGTATAATAAGCTCGATCTTATTATAAATTTTCATAATTACATGGACTTTGTGTTATTTGCTCATGCATTAAAAAAGGATGAAGACTTTTTGAGTTAATCCCATAAATCCTGATAATGCGTTGCAAATAACATAAGCCCTTCTTTAATCTTAGCCTTAGATTCTGTTTGGCAGTCCCCCATCAAGACCAAATCAAAAGCAAGAATCATCTTGTTTAAATACTCTAACCAAATTTGATTTAATTGCGCCTCACTAAAATCATTCACTTGCGCTTCATTCACCACCCAAGTTGGAATAGACATATTTTTGCCTTTGATAATCAATTGTCGATACGAACGCAATACTGAAAGTGTTTTGTTTGCAATTTCTTTTTTTGGGTCAGAATAATACGAAATAGGAACAAATCCATATCCCTCAATCCAATTAAAAATGCTTTCTTTTAAATCTAGGCAAATCTCGAATATATTATGAGATATTTTTTTTAAAATCATGACTTTTATAACTCCTTTAATTTTCAAAAAGCATGGCTGTTTTTATATAAATATATTTTGAATAAATTTACAAATACTTGCACCACCTGTCATCTCATAAGACAATAGCCACATTATAGATTCAAATTTGCTTAGGCTATTTTCATGTCCCTACCTTTAGATGTTCTTGGCGGAATTACTGCTGAACAATTCCTCTCAGAATACTGGCAAAAAAAACCTTTATTGGTTCGTAATGCTTTACCTGAAATTGCCAATATCCTTGTTCCAGATGACGTCATGGAGCTTGCTCTGGATGAAAACATCACAGCACGCCTGATTAAGCAAAAAGACAAAGATCCAAATCAATGGTCAGTAAAATCATCACCACTCATCAAAGGTGATTTTCAAAAAATGCCAAAACTTTGGACCTTATTGATTCAAGCTGTAGATCATTATTCATTTGATTTAGCAGAACTTTGGAAGAAATTTCCTTTTATTCCACAGTGGCGTCGTGATGACATTATGGTCTCTTATGCTGCTAAAGGTGGTTCTGTAGGTCAGCATTTTGACTTTTATGATGTATTTCTTGTACAAGGTTATGGACACCGTCGTTGGCAACTTGGACAAATGTGTGATGCTGAATCTGAATTTGTTGAAGGACAGCCGTTAAAACTGCTTCCAGAAATGGAGATCAATTTTGATGAAGTTTTAGCGCCAGGCGATTTACTTTATGTTCCACCAGGATTGTCGCATTACGGTGTAGCAGAAGACGATTGCCTAACCTACTCTTTTGGTTTCCGTATGCCAAATATTGCCGACATGATGGACCGTGTCAGCGATAAATTTGTCGAAGACCAACAACTACGTAATCCGCTTATCGACATCTTACGGAATAAACAAAACCCGATTGGGCAAGTGACACAAGCTGAACTCAATTATTTAAAGGCTGAATTGTTGTCGAAATTAAACAATTCTAAAGTGTTAGAAGATGCCATTATGAGTCTAATGGCTGAAGCAAAGTACCCTGAAAATATTCCAGATGCTGAAGCGATTGGCACTGGAGATTTAGAAGAAGTTCTTGAACAAGGCTATTTACTACAAATTGAGCCAGCTTCTCGATTAATTTATCTTGAACAGGATCGTGAATTATTATTTTGGGCAAATGGTGAATCGATTTGTATTTCTGAACAATTTGCACCCCATTTAAAGCAGATTGCAGATGGACAAAGTGTCAAACTCAATCATGAATTGTCTAATGATGAAATATTAGAGGACATTGCTGGATTATTAAATGAATCTATCTTGATGCTTGTTCCAACTGACGAATAAAATTCGCAATTTAACTCTAACAATGTAACGCTTAAATAAAGCCTGAAAATTCAGGCTTTATTTCTATCAATTTACTTTCAGCATAACTCTAAGAAATAACTCGCTCATCCTTGCTTAAGCTGATATTTGAGTGAGCTTGAGGACTTAACCAAAGTAAAATTAAACACTTCATCCCACTAGAGATAAAGACTTTGCTGTGACTTTATTGTCCTTTTATCAGACTATTTTTTCTCATAGTTTTCGATAAACTCCGAAATCTATTGTCAATATTTTTTGTCGTTCAAGTTTTTCAAAAAAGTCTAAAGTACTACTAAAGGGATTAACGAAGTATTTTGTTAAGTGATTGAATTCAACTGTTGTCTTGAGAAAATTATAAAAGAAATATGGGTCAAGATTACCAATACTTTCTTTGTTTCCAAGCGAAACTTCAAGAATTTGCCCTGTTATTAAATTCTCAAACATACAATGCTCTCCATGCACAAAAAAAGACCAATCTTCCGATAGCGTTTTTTGTCCATTTAAAAAATCAGCATCTTGTATTTCGTAATAGTGTCCTGCATTAATTTTTTCTTTTTCAGGTTGGTCTGTTTCTGTAATTAATTTATCAATAAGCACTTCAGCAATGGCTTTATAGTTGTCCATTGCTGTTAATAATTCCTGTTCTACATCAGAAGTAAGGTCGATCATATAATTACTGTCAAAATTTCAAAGCTAAATAATTAAAACTTATCAAATAAAGCCTGAAAATTCAGGCTTTATTTCTATCAATTTATTTTCAGCATAATTTTAAGAAATAATTCCCTCATCCTTGCTCAAACTGATATTTGAGTGAGCTTGAGAACTTAACTGATGCTTTAATGTCTCATTTTCCTGCTTTAGATTTTTAATTTTAAAAAACTGGAAGAACAGCCCGATATAAGCAATAACAACGATTACAGAAACATAAATGGCTAAAAAACTGATACTTGGGTTTAACAATTTTGTCAGAAACTCTTCAAACATTTTCGATTCCTTTTTGTTTTCATCGCATATTGAATAAATATTTCAGTTAAATTAACTCAAATTGTTTAGAAAATAAATCATTCAATTATTAATCTAGAACCATTCTCAAGTCTAACAAATCATTACTTGAGCTTTTTCATCAATTTGGGCAATTTAGCGCTATATAAAGAATGAGATATTTACTTCATGGCAAGTCCTGCTCAAGCAATTCGACATCAACTTCTCAATACTTTTTTCTCCCGTTATTCCGTTTGGTTCCTTTGTATATTTGTATCTTTATATTTGACTTGGATTATTTTCTTTAACGAAGGTCATTATATTTATTACTTTTTTTCAGATACTGTACTGAATTTAGCTTGGATTATTTCATCCATACTGGCCGCAATTGGCTTTGCTGATATCATCCAAACACAGCATTCTATTTTAAGAAATTACCCTTTAATGGGACATTTTCGATTTTTCTTTGAAGATATACGTCCTGAAATTCGTCAATATTTCATTGAATCTGATGATGATGCCTTACCTTTTTCACGTGCACAAAGAAGCTTAGTTTACCAACGTGCTAAAAATGAAAATGCAGATAAGCCTTTTGGTTCAATTATTGATGTCTATCAAGATGACTATCGTTTTTTAACCCATTCGATGACACCCAAAACACCTGCTGATTTTAATACATTTAGAATTAGTATTGGCAATGATCAATGCTCACAACCTTATAGTGCTTCGATCATGAATATCTCAGCAATGAGTTTTGGTAGTTTGAGTGCAAATGCCATTCTTGCTTTAAATACTGGTGCAAAAAAAGGCAACTTTTATCATGACACAGGTGAAGGGAGCTTAAGTCCTTATCACCTTGAACCGGGTGGTGATATTGTTTGGGAAATTGCCAGTGGCTATTTTGGTTGCCGTACTTTAGATGGTAAGTTTGATCCTGAAAAATTTAAGCAACAAGCAGCTTTGCCTCAAATTAAAATGATCGAAATCAAACTATCCCAAGGGGCAAAACCAGGGCACGGCGGTATTCTTCCCAAAGATAAAATCACCAAAGAAATTGCCGAAATACGCGGTGTTTCTATGGACGTGGATTGTATTTCCCCAGCGACACATTCTGCTTTTAGCACTCCTATTGAAATGATGCATTTTATTCAGCAATTACGTGAGCTATCCAACGGCAAACCGGTTGGTTTTAAATTGTGTATCGGACAACCTTGGCAATTTATGAGCATTGTAAAAGCCATGCTACTGACCAAAATCACTCCAGATTTTATCGTGGTTGATGGTTCAGAGGGCGGTACAGGTGCTGCCCCTATTGAACTGATTGATCATATGGGTACACCTTTACGTGAAGGCCTGCTTTTTGTAAACAATACCTTAATTGGCGCAGGTTTACGTTCTCAAATCAAGATTGGCGCAAGTGGTAAAATTATCAGTGCCTTTGATATCGCCAGTACTATGGCTATGGGTGCTGACTGGGTCAATTCTGCACGTGGCTTTATGTTTGCGGTGGGTTGCATCCAAGCACAAAGTTGTCATACCAACCAATGTCCTGTTGGCGTTGCAACGCAGAACAAAGAACGTCAAAAAGCACTTGATGTGCCATCTAAAGCAGACCGTGTGTTTAGTTTCCAAAAAAACACCTTAAAAGCGCTTGCGGAAATGATTGCCGCAGCTGGTTTACAACATCCTGCTGAGATTAAAGCACATCATTTGGCACAACGAATCAATGACCGTGAAATCAAAAACTATGCTCAATTGCACTTTTGGATGAAAGACGGTGAATTGCTCAGTTGTGAAAATAAAGATGAAGAAAACTTCTATTTTAGAATGTGGAACTTAGCAGCTGCTGAACATTTTTAATTATTTGCAAGCGAAATTTCATTAAGGAGATCAATATGATCTCCTTTTTTATATCTAGCATTTATAAAGAAACCTAATCTTGTGAATTTTTATTCTTCTGTTTTTTATTTAAATTTATATTGGAGTTTATTTTTACTCAAACGCCATTTTAATCTAAACAATATTTAAGCAAGATAGCTTAAAACACATCAAGAATATTTGCGGATGAAATTTCTAAAACACATAACCACCACCATTATCCTTACAACGTCATTACATTGTTATGCAACTGTCGGTGGTGGACAAACAATAGAAGTATTGGGTTATGAAGCAAAACAACAAAAACTTTATCTGTTACGACACTATGAAGATGAGCGTGGGCGCTTGCCACAGTTATACTATTATCAGCTCAACAGTAAAACACCTGACAAGTTGATTGAAGTACAATCGTTATATATTAATCCCAAAACGCATCAAATTGACTATGATCAAGATGCTATCCAGTTTGAAAAAGACCTAAATAAAATTAAAAAGCGTTTAACACCGTTACTTATAGGAAATGCCAATACAGCAAAAATTCAAGTGGTGCAAAGTCAAACTCATTACGTCCCTGCTTGGCATGATCAATCCCAAAAGATTCCTCAATATAAAACCATATACAAAGTTACAACAGCTTCTTTAAAAAGCAAAAACCAACAAGCTATACAGTATGCTAAAACAATAAAAATCACTCAGAACTATGTCGTGCCAAATCAGAATAAGCTGCTGATTGTGGTTAAATATTTCGGCATTCCAGAAGAAACAGGCTATGATGTTGAAGATGCTGTTTTGCTCTTACCAATACAATAATGAGGATAAATCGTGTTAAAAATAATCACATCAACGCTCCTATTCAGTTTTAGCGCTCTCGCTTTTGCAAAAAGTTATAGCAATATTTCACTTGAAGTCCTCGGCTATGATTCAGATAAAAAAGCGGTTTTAATTCTTGAAAATTCAGCAAGCTATGACATTCCAAGAGTTTATCGCTATTCACTGAGTGAAAAACGCTATGATCTGCTCAAATATGATGAAAATTTTACAGGTATTACAGATCAACAAAGCTTTCAGCAAAAACTTTCAAGCATAAAGACTCAGCTTAAACCGCTTAAAAAGATCGTGCTTCAAGACTTTAACGTTAATCTACTCGAACAAAGACCTTCTGATACTCAAAGCTCTACCCCATTTAAAACAATTTATAGCTCGATATTTACAATATCCAATCCGCAATATCAAAGTCTTCAACAGAATTTAACCAGTTACAGTCCAGAAATTAAACTTAAACAGGCTTTTAAACTGCCAAAAAACAAAGGGGCGCTGATTACTTTTGAATCACTCAGCTTACCTTTTGATGAAGGATATAGCCGTGAAGAAGCTGTTGTTTTATTTCCTACAGGTCAGCTTCCTAAATAAATAAAGCCTCTTAGGAGGCTTTATTTTTACTGCTTTTATCAATCTTGATCAATTCATTACGCCGCAGAGCGCTCAGTGATTGGTACAACTTTGCGGAGTTCTGGACCAGTATAATCCGCGCTTGGACGAATAATACGATTGTCAGCACGTTGTTCCATTACATGCGCGGCCCATCCTGTAACACGAGACATCACAAAGATTGGTGTGAATAATTTTGTTGCAATATCCATGAAATGATATGCAGATGCATGGAAGAAATCCGCATTACAGAACAACTTCTTCTCACGCCACATCACTTCTTCACAACGTACTGATACTGGGTAAAGCACTGTATCACCAACATCTTTTGCTAAACGCTCAGCCCAAATTTTGATGATGCCATTACGTGGATCATTGTCTTTATAGATCGCATGACCAAAGCCCATGATCTTTTCTTTACGTTCAAGTTTACCCAGCATTTCACGTTCAGCTTGTTCTGGTGACGTCCAATTTTCAATCATTTCCATCGCAGCTTCATTTGCGCCGCCATGCAATGGTCCACGCAGTGAACCAATTGCACCAGTAATACACGAGTGCATATCAGATAATGTTGAAGCACAGACACGTGCAGTAAATGTTGACGCGTTAAACTCATGCTCAGCATAAAGAATTAATGAAACATTCATCACTTGTTCATGTAATTCATTTGGCTTTTCGCCACGTAGTAAATGCAAGAATTGTGCACCGATTGAATCGTCATCGGTATTTTCTTCAATACGTACACCATCATGACTAAAACGGTACCAATAACAAATGATCGCTGGCAAAGTTGCAAGAATACGATCTGCCACATCTTGCTGTTGATCAAATGATTTTTCAGTTTCCAGATTTCCTAACATTGAAACCCCTGTACGCATCACGTCCATTGGATGTGAATCAGCAGGAATACGTTCCAACACTTCTTTTAAAGCTTGCGGTAACTGGCGAAGTGATTTTAATTTGGCTTTATATGTCGCCAACTGTTCTGCTGTAGGCAATTCACCAAAGAAAATAAGATAAGCGACTTCTTCAAATTGGCAATTTTCTGCAAGGTCTTGCACATCATAACCACGATAAGTTAAGCCTGCGCCACTCTTACCTACTGTAGAAAGTGCTGTTTTACCTGCAACTTGACCGCGCAATCCAGCGCCTGTAAGTACTTTTCCTTCAGCCATTTTATTATTTCTCCTGGGTGAACAGTTTGTCTAGGGTATTTTCGAAAGTGTGATAATCAAGGAATTCGTAAAGTTCTTTTCGTTGTTGCATGCTATCCAGTACATTAACTTGTGTACCATTTTCACGAATTGAACGAAAAACTTCGAGGGCTGCTTTTTGCATTGCACGTGTTGCAGACAATGGATATAGCACCATGCTGATGCCCTGTTCAGCTAACTCTTGGGTGGTGTAATAAGGTGTATCACCAAACTCTGTAATATTTGCAAGAACAGGAACACCTACTGCATCACAGACTGTTTTATACATGGTAATGTCGGTCATTGCTTCAGCAAAGATCGCATCTGCACCTGCCTCGACACATGCACAAGCACGATCAATCACGGCTTGCAAACCTTCTTTTTGCAATGCATCTGTACGTGCCATCACAACAAAGTTTGAATCTGTTTTTGCATCAACTGCTGCTTTAATGCGATCAACCATTTCTTGTTGAGAAACAATTTCTTTATTTGGACGATGACCACAACGCTTTTGTGCAACTTGATCCTCAATATGGACAGCTGCCGCACCCGCACTAATCATTTGTTTAATTGTCCGTGCAATATTAAATGCACCACCCCAACCTGTATCGATATCAACAAGTAATGGTGTATCTACACGTTCTGTAATACGACGAACATCTTCCAATACGTTGTCTAAGCTGGTCATCCCTAAATCAGGTAAACCATAAGAATAGTTTGCCACACCAGCACCTGAAAGATAGATGGCTTTATAACCCACCTGTTTCGCCATCATCGCTGCATAAGCGTTGACTGTACCAATGATTTGTAATGGTTTTTCCACTTCTAGAGCTTGTCTAAATCTTAAGCCTGCAGACGTCTGTTGTGTCATATTCCCTTCCACAGTGGTCACTTGTTTATTGAGTTTTGAGTATAGCCATAATTTATATTTCGCATATGACCATTTAGATATATTACTCTAAAACTTTAGTCAAAGAAAAATGAATTTTGATTCATTTTTTCATTTTTATGCACTTTTTTTAATCATTTTTTCCAATAGCACGTTTGCTAAGAAATTTATTGACATCTTTGATATAATAGTGACAACCCATTTTTCCTCAGTAATTTATGAACGAAGATTTAGCACAAGTTGAAGCTACAGGATGTGATTTTCCACAAACTAAACGTGGGCATGAACGTCGCTTGGCATTACTGATTAGTGCAAACGATCTTTTTTTAGAGCACGGTTATGATGCGGTATCTTTAGATGACATCGTGAATCATGCAGGCGGATCAAAAGCCTCGATTTACAAATATTTTGGTAGTAAAGAAGGTCTATTTACAGCGATCTGTGACTATCGTCGTGATTTATTCTTTAAAGATATCTGCATTCCATTTAACCCCGCGTTGAATGAGCTCAGAGCATATTTGATCAATACCTTGATTAACTTTTATAAGCATATGATCATTCCTGAAAATATTGCTTTTATACGTTTGGTCTTAGAACGTTCACAAAAAGACCCACAATTGGCCGTCTATATTCATGAAAAAGGACCAAAGCAAGTACAACACTCTATTGCATGTGCCTTGGAACGTTGTGTAGAAAATCAAATATTAACCTGTGCAAATCCTTTATTTTCAGCACAATTTTATTTTGGAATTCTTAGAAATTTGGAATGGCGAATTTTAATGGGGATTGAAATCAAAGAATCTGATCAAGAAATATTCAATTGCGTAAGTTATTGTGTAGATCGCTTCTTAGAGGGCCATCAAAAGGTCTAATTTTTTTGCGTTTTCATATTCATATAGTATATTAGCTGATTCTCCTTTTTACTTTCATCAACCACCAACAATGAATTGTTGGTCAATTTCCCTATTGGTTTTGACTAAACAATTATTGTGGAGTAACCATGGCTCTACGACATTTTCTTACTTTACGTGATTTATCCACTGCTGAACTTAACCGTATCATTGAACGTGCTCAAGAGTTAAAGCGAAAACAACACAACAACGAAGTATTTCAACCCTTTGTTGGAAAAGTCATGGGGATGATTTTTGAAAAGTCGAGTACCCGTACTCGTGTATCTTTCGAAGCTGGTATGAGCCAATTTGGAGGCAGTGCAATTTTCCTTTCATCACGCGACACTCAATTGGGTCGTGGTGAGCCAATTGAAGATTCTGCACGTGTGATATCGAGCATGCTTGATATCGTGATGATTCGTACATTTGGTCATGATATTGTTGAACGTTTTGCTGAATATTCAACAGTCCCGGTTATCAATGCATTAACTGACGACCACCACCCTTGCCAGCTACTTGCGGATGTACAAACATTTGTTGAACATCGTGGTTCGATCAATGGCAAAACTGTGGCTTGGATTGGCGATGGCAACAATATGTGTAATTCGTATATTGAAGCTGCGCATATGTGGGGCTTTAAGTTAAAAATCGCGTCACCGAAAGGTTATGAACCAAAACCTGAATTTCTTTCAGAATTTGCTCATTGCGTAGAACTTTTTGAATCAGCAGAAGATGCAGCGGTCAATGCAGATCTGATCGTGACGGATGTTTGGGCAAGTATGGGCCAAGAAGAAGAACAAAAAATTCGTGAAAAAGCGTTTGCTGCGTATCAAGTGAATGAAAAATTAATGGATTTAGCGCATCCAGATTGTCTATTTATGCATTGTCTACCTGCACATCGCGGTGAAGAAGTTTCTGAAAATATGCTAGATCACAAAAACGCTGTGGTTTGGGATGAAGCAGAAAACCGCCTACATGCACAAAAAGCCTTGGTTGAATTTTTAATCAATGAAAATTTAAACAAAGACTAATTTGTTTTGTTTTAAGATAAATAAGCACCAACACTGGTGCTTATTTTTTGTTTCAGTATAATAAAATCCATATTTTTAATATGTGTATAATTCAAATGAAATTTAAAATAATTCCTTTATTCGCAATGTCAATGTACATGCTCATTTCTCAAAGTAGTTATGCAACTGAATTAGATGATTATTTGATTCAAAAGAATTTGATTGGACAGGATTATAAAATTATAGATCAACAAAATTTAGATGATGTTTTAACTGCGTTAAGTGAAGAAGACTCTCGCGTGCTGCCTGTACAAGTCGACCAAAACACAGTGATTGAGAAAATTCATATGTACCATGATCATGTTGATTTGCAAGGTTTAATTACATCTAAAGATTTTAATCAGTTTTCAAATAGCATGGGTAAAGAAAAAACTCAGCAACTTTTAATGGAAGGTATGCTTGAAAATTGTCATTTACTTTTTGAAAATGAATTCCAACGTCAAAATCCTTATTATGTAAAAATAAAACTGATGTCTGAACAGAAAGCATATGAGCTAAAACTCAAAAATGAGCAATGCAAATTTTAATTTGTAATAATATTGTCTTGGTGCATTGTATCAGTTCACATTTTGTCTAAGCAGATTCGGTTTTTTTCAAGTCGATCTAACGATTAAAAAATTAATATTTTTTAATCGTTTAAGATTAAGACAATTTTTAACATTTTAGCTATCTGTAACAATTTTGTCATGTAGAATACTTACTATGCCCTTCAAGGTCGTTAAGACAGTTTCAAATGACGCAGATCATGCCCGCTTCAAAAAGTTTAACCACGCCTGAATTTCAACATAGCTCTAGCAGCTATATTAATCGTGAAATTTCCTTACTGGAATTTCATAAACGTGTGTTAGCCCAAGCAAAAGATGAAACTCATCCTCTGCTTGAACGATTGAATTTTCTCATTATTTTTTCACGTAATTTAGATGAGTTTTTTGAAATTCGTGTCGCTGGATTAATGAAACAACTGGACTTCAAAACCATTACCACAGCGCCAGATGGTATTCCAAACGAAGTTATTCTTGAGCAAATTTCACATAACGCACATCTTGCGATTCAAGAGCAATACGACACCTTAAACCATGTATTATTGCCTGAGTTAGAAAACTATGGCGTCAAATTTATCCAATATAATGACATTTTAGAAAAACACGCGGAATGGATTAAAAATTACTTTTTTAAACAAGTACAACCTGTTGTAACACCAATTAGCTTAGATCCTGCTCATCCTTTCCCACGCTTGGTCAATAAAAGTTTAAACTTTATTGTCACCTTAGAAGGAAAAGATGCTTTTGGTCGTCAGATTGAATTGGCCATTGTACCCGCACCTCGTTCCTTACCGCGTGTTGTACGCTTACCGAACGAGCTTACAGACGGCGCAGAACATTACATTTTATTGTCAGCGATTATCCAACAGCATATCAGTGATTTATTCCCCGGCATGACAGCAACAGGATGCTATCAATTCCGTGTTACCCGTAATGCTGACTTAACTTTGGCAGAAGATGTCGATGATTTGGCAGTCGCATTGAAAGATGAATTATCTTCACGTCGTTTTGGTCGTGCAGTTCGTTTAGAAATCGCAGATAATTGCCCAAATTCAATTAATAATTATTTATTAGAACAATTTGATTTAGATCCACAGCATCTTTATCAAGTGAATGGTCCTGTCAATTTAACACGTCTGATTACTGATTTTGATATTCCAGAATTAAGGTTTAAGCCTTATCAAGCCGTTATTCCCAAAGCCTTAAGAAATTCAAATAAAATATTTGAAATATTAAGCAAGCAAGATTTGCTATTACATCATCCATTTGATTCTTTCCAGCCCGTTATCAATCTACTCAAAGAAGCGGCAAAAGACCCCAATGTTTTAGCAATTAAACAAACCTTATATCGTAGTGGCCCAGACTCAGAAATTGTACAAGTGCTGGCAGAAGCTGCTCGCAATGGGAAAGAAGTTACAGCGATTATCGAATTACGTGCGCGCTTTGATGAAGAGTCAAATATTATCGTCGCAAATCTTCTACAAGAAGCTGGCGCAGTTGTGGTGTATGGTATTGTCGGTTATAAAACGCATGCCAAAATGATTTTAGTTGTGCGACGTGAAGTCGATAAACTCAAACGTTATGTACACCTTGGCACAGGCAACTACCATGCTGGAAATGCACGGATGTATACCGACTATGCTTTACTCACCACAAATGATGAAATTTGTGAAGATGTACATAAAATCTTCCAAGAGCTGACAGGTATGGGTAAATTGTTAAAGCTAAAAAAACTCTTTCATGCCCCCTTCACCTTACACTCCCAGCTGTTACATTTGATTGAGCAAGAAACAGCACATGCAAAAGCGGGTAAAAAAGCCCGTATCATCATTAAAGTCAATGCATTGACTGAACCTAAGCTGATTACAGCTTTATATAAAGCATCTCAAGCTGGGGTTAAAATAGAGCTGATTATCCGTTCAATCTGTTGTTTAAGACCACAAATTGAAGGGCTTTCTGAAAATATTAAAGTTCGTTCTATTGTCGGGCGCTTCCTAGAACATACTCGTGTTTATTATTTTTATAATGATGCCAATGAGGACTTATACTGCGCAAGTGCTGACTGGATGGGTCGAAACTTATTTTCTCGGGTCGAAACCTGCTTTCCGATTGAAGATAAAAAGCTTAAAAAACAGATTATTGAATATGGGCTGCACAGTTATTTAAAGGACAATATTCGTGCTTGGGAACTCGATGCCAATGATCAATGGCATGCAGTTCAACCCAAAGATGATGAGAAACCTTATATTGCCCAACAGGTGTTGATGCAACAACGGATTATTCCCACTACAGCGTAATTCTTTCATATTGTTATTTTCAATGACTCACCCCCCTTTTTTTTGAAAGGAGGGTTTGGATGATTAATGCGGCATTGAAACACCCCAATTAAGGCATAACTTTGATTGATCCTATGCGTTGATTTCAATTTTTTTTAAAATTAGCCAACTATAAGCCAATACCCTCAATAACCCCTTGTTGCTTTAACTGTAACAATTCATCATCTGAACAAAATTCTTCTAAAATCGCTTTGGTATGTTCTCCTAAGCGTGGCGGTGCATTACGATATTCAACAGGTGTTCCTGTCATTTTAATCGGTGAACCAATCACATTAAAATCAGGATTATCTGTATGTGGAATATTGACCACCATTTTACGATATTGAATTTGGGGTTCATCTAAAGCATCTGCAACAGAATTAATCACGCCAACAGGTACTTTCACTGCATGAATTGCATCGACCCAATGCTTCGCGGTATTTGATAAAAAATATTCAGACAACAAAGCAACCAATTCTTGACGATATTTCACCCGATCTTGATTACGGAGATAGTTTGATTGATCTAACAATTCAGGTTTTCCAATCGCAATACATAAATCTTTAAATTGTTTATCATTGCCACAGGCCAGAATAAACTCCTTATCTTGCGCTTTAAAAGTCTGATAAGGCACAATATTGGGATGATGATTACCCATTCGTTGAGGTGCGATACCTGAACTTAAATAGTTCATACCTTGGTTGGCGAGTCCAGCAACCTGTACATCTAACAAAGACATATCAATATATTGTCCAACACCTGTTTGCTGTCGAGAAATCAGTGCCGCCTGAATCGCAATTGTTGCATATAGCCCAGTCTGAATATCAACCACTGCCACACCAACTTTTTGTGAACTTGCCCCTAACTCACCTTCTTTTTCACCAGTAATACTCATCAAGCCAGACATACCTTGAATAATAAAGTCATAACCCGGTTCTTCTGCACGCGGCCCATCTTGACCAAAACCAGTGATAGAGCAATAGATCAATTTTGGATTAATATGCTTGAGGGTTTCATAATCCAATCCATATTTTTTCAATGAACCTGCTTTAAAGTTTTCAATCACAATATCTGCGGTTTTCACCATGTGTTGTAATAATCGCTGCCCATCCTGCGTTGCCATATCAATTGCCACTGAGGATTTATTGCGATTCGCAGATTGGTAATATCCAGATTCTCGCGTCGCTCTACCCTGTTGATCAAGCATCCACGGCGGGCCCCACATACGGGTATCATCACCAACTTTAGGGCGTTCAATCTTAATCACTTCGGCGCCTAGATCTGCAAGAACTTGTCCACACCACGGACCTGCCAGTACTCGACTCAGATCTAAAACTCGAATTCCTTGTAATGCACCCATATGTTTACCTCTATGTCAGGAGTAAGCGAATACTCCTCAATTTTACGATTTACTGAATCAGTCTAAACAAGCGTTGACTATTGTTGTTGGGGATCATATTGACGATCTTTGATAAATAAGCCAGGTAATACTCCTGCAACAAAATAAGCTGCGCCCATCACGATAAATGCCGTCATAAATGTACCTCCCGAAGCAAGGAAACCAATGGTTGCTGGGGCAATTGCAGCGCCTACTCGCCCAATGTTATATGCACCACCAATTGCTGTACCTCGGACATCGGTAGAAAATGATTCCGCCATATAGGTCGCATTTACACCATAAGGGATGCCATATAAGAAACCAAAAGTGATCAATAAGTACAAAATATTGTCTGGTGTATTAAAGATAATAATTACAGGTAAGAAGACAGCGCTGGCTATGGTACCGAACACAAATACTGCACGACGATTAAATTTATCTGCCAAATATCCCGCTAAGATCTTGCCTAAAATCATCGCTGTATATGAACCTACCATATAACTGGTCATGTTTTTAAAGTTCATATGCACTTCTGTTTCTAGATAACTTGGCATCCAATTGTTGATTCCGTAGTAACCAAATTGTAAGAAGAAGGCTGTAGTCATCCACAATAAAAACATTTTACGGTGCTTAAAGTTGGCAAAAATTTGTTTATAAATACTGCCACTTTTCGCTTTCTCGGGAACTGTGGCTTCAACTGGTTTCTTGCCTTGAAGCTGATTGATTTTGTTGAGCTGCCAAGACTTTGGTTCAGGTACAAAGCGTTGCAAGAAAATATTGATAAATGCTGGAATAACCGTGATAAAAAACAAGACTCTCCAACCATGATCAGGAATAATCGCACCAGCTAATAATGTAGCAACAATATATCCAACGGTTTGCCCGGTTTGTAATGTACCCAATACCGTAGTTCTATACGTTGTAGGAACATATTCAGCCATAAGGGTATTGCATGCCATATAAAGCGCCCCAATCCCTAGTGCACCAATAAATCGTAATGCCATAAATTGTTCAAAACTTTGGGTAAAGCCTAACAAACATGTTGCAACTGAGAAAAACGATACAGAATTGGCAATGGTACGTACGCGGCCAAACTTATCACATGCCCATCCACCTAGAATCCCACCAATCCCCATACCTGCCAGAGAGGCACTGCCTAAGGCGCCAGCCTGAAATGTAGATAATGCAAACTCACCCTTTAAACTGGTTAAGCTATAGGACAACAACATGATATCTACGCCATCGACGACCATAGCGAAATAGGCGAATAAAAGTGCCCATTTCCAAGTATTTGGGCCTATTTTTTCAAATGTTCCAATATTGGATGGCATGGATAATTTTGTTGAAGTTGTAACTGATCGAACATCATTGTTCATTTTTCCTCTACCTCATTTTCCCAAATGAGTCATCGGTCACTTTTTATCTTTCTCTCTACTTATTTCTTTGTTATTTTTATTGCATCAATCTAGAGTTAAGTATGAGAGTTAAAAGAATAATCAGATATTTTTCACGATGAATCCTTTTATCATTGATTTATTTTTACCTTAGTTTTTATAAAATTTAAGGCAAAAAATCCTACAAGGGATGCTAGATTTAAGCATCCCTGTTTTAAAACAATTAATTTTAGTTACTAAAGGCAGCAATACCAGTTTGTGCACGCCCGAGAATTAAGGCATGTACATCATGGGTACCTTCATAGGTGTTGACCACTTCCAGATTGACCAAATGGCGAGCGACACCGAATTCATCACTGATACCATTGCCACCCATCATGTCTCGAGCAACACGCGCAATATCTAAAGCTTTACCACAATTGTTGCGTTTAATCAGTGAAGTGCCTTCAACAGAAGCGATACCGTCATCTTTCATACGACCAAAACGTAATGCGATCTGCAGCCCTAAAGCAATTTCAGTTTGCATATCTGCAAGTTTCTTTTGCACCAATTGATTCGCAGCCAATGGGCGTCCAAATTGTTTACGATCCATCGTATATTGGTGTGCAGTGTGCCAGCAAAACTCTGCCGCCCCCATCGCGCCCCATGCAATACCGTAACGTGCACTATTTAAACAAGTAAATGGTCCACGCAAACCACGAATTTCAGGAAATGCATTTTCTTCAGGAACAAAAACATTGTCCATCACAATTTCACCGGTAATCGATGCACGCAAACCGACTTTGCCATGAATCGCAGGCGCAGAAAGTCCTTCCCAACCTTTTTCTAGGATAAAGCCACGAATTTCACCGATATTGCCTTCAGCAGAAACTTCTTTGGCCCAGACCACAAATACATCAGCGATTGGACTATTGGTAATCCACATTTTTGCACCAGTCAAACGATAACCACCTTCGACCTTTTTAGCACGGGTGATCATACTGCCTGGATCTGAACCATGATCAGGTTCTGTTAAACCGAAACATCCAATAAACTCGCCAGTAGCTAATTTAGGTAAGTACTTTTGTTTTTGCTCTTCAGAACCAAATTCATTGATAGGCACCATCACCAATGAGCTTTGTACACTTGCCATTGAACGATAACCCGAATCTACGCGTTCAATTTCACGGGCAATAAGACCGTAACTGACATAGTTTAGACCTGCACCACCGTATTCTTCAGGGATTGTCGGTCCCAGCAAACCTAACTCACCCATTTCACGAAAAATAGAAGCATCTGTTTTTTCATGGCGGAATTGTTCCAAAACTCTTGGCATCAGTTTGTCTTGTGAATAGGCATAAGCAGCATCACGAATCATGCGTTCTTCAGAAGTAAGTTGCTGTTCCAATAAAAATGGATCTTGCCAATTAAATTGAACACGTGCCGTTTTTGTAGAATTAACCATTTGATTCATAGCATCCTTTGCTGAACATATCTTGTTGTCTTAGTAGTGATGTTAGGTGTGAAAATTAATACTTTCAAACGATTAATTCTCACTCAGATATTCCATTTACGCATATCTTATGTTTTTATAACATGGCTCTCTCAATGACTACTGTTCAATTATGTTGGTGTTAAACGAGGCTTTTTAACAAATTTTTATCATCTTTACGTCCTCTTATAAATTTTTATTTGAGGTAAAACCAAGTAACTTGATGAAAGATTCATTGCAAACATCTGCTTTGATTTAAGCTCTTTTTGCAAGATATGAATAGATTAAATTTAGTCTTAATTAAACTTTGATATTCAAGGAATGAATATGCGTAGAATGATTCCTTCATTACAATCACTAATATGTTTTGAAGCGGCTGCCAAGCATCTAAGCTATACCTTTGCTGCTCAAGAGCTGCATCTTACTCAAAGTGCGATATCTCGCCAAGTACAACAACTCGAAGATTTTTTAGGACTCAATCTATTTAACAGAACACGACATGGCGTTGAATTAACACAAGCTGGTGAACATTATTATAAAAACATCAAAGCTCATTTATTGGGTATTGAACAAAGCACACTCGATTTAATGAGCCATAAAGGTTTAGGCGGTACTCTAAAATTGGGGGTTGTACCGACATTTGCAACACGTTGGCTGTTACCCCGACTGTATAAGTTCAACAAAATATATCCTGAAATTACCATTCATTTAGAGACCAGTACCAAACCCTTTTTATTCAGTGAGCATATTTTTGATGCAGCAATATATACAGGTACACCTGCACAAATTGAAAATTGGCCGGGTGCAAAAGTCCACTATTTAATGAATGAAGATGTTGTTCCTGTGTGTTCTGCTGAGTTAATTTTTAAGCATTTTCCAGAGCTTAGAGGGCCTTCCGGAAATTTACGTCGAAGCTTATCGGCGGAAGAGATTGCCACGTTGCCCTTACTCCAACAAACCACACGCCCCTATATTTGGAAAGAGTGGTTTGAAGTTTCTGGTTATGAGCATCCTTTTGCATTAGAAGGACAACGGCATGAGTTATTTTCGATGCTTGCGGTGGCAGCCATACATCATATGGGGGTTGCGCTTATTCCACAAAAACTACTGGAGAAAGAACTACGCTCAGGTGATTTAATTATCGCCTCAGAAATTAAGCTAAAAGGTTCACGTGCCTATTATTTTGTCTATGCAGAACAACAGCAAACACCCCTCATTGCTAAATTTGTTGAATGGTTATTGACTGAAGTTGAGCGTTCACAAAGTACTTTTTTAAAATAACGCGAATTCGAGTTAAACAATAGCTTATTCAAGATTTATAGAATATAGCTTAATTTCTATATTGTGATGATAAAACTCAGCTTGTAGGAGATGAAAGAAACAGCGCCTACAACAGAAAATATAAGCCTACTCCGCTATTTTTAATGCCCTTCAGCATTTTAATAAGAATAGGCTAAAAGAAACACATTATTCAATTGATCAGTGTTTAAACCGAATGGCTACAGATCTTAAAATTTAAGCGCTAAATCCAATATAACGATAAAAATCTTGATCCCCTACAACACCTAAGCTTGTTTTATAAATCAGGTAATTAGGATAATTACTCTCAGATAATTCATTGAAAATATTCAATCCCTGATCATCATGAGCATGGATTTCATCGACGCTACGATGCATGGTCGCTTCAAATTCATCTGAAATATATTCAAAGCCCAAATCCATCGCAATAAACAAGGTATGTATACACGGCTGTAAATATTGTTCTTCATTCCAATCAATGACCGCATGTTGGCAATGTGGGCATGTAACATTTTCTTGAGAATTTTCTAAAGTGATCAGTTGAAATGGCATACGCTTTGGAACAGAATAAAATTGTATTTTAAACGAGTTAGGGAAATTAAACACTCGTTTTAGATAAATCTAAAACTGCTTTTCATATTTTATAAATACACGAAACAAAGCTAAGGATATTATGTCAACGATTGAAAAAGCGATTGCTTTAGCAGCTCGTAAACACGCAGGCCAAAAAGATAAAGCACAACAGCCTTATATTTTTCACCCTCTGAGGTTGATGTTCAAAGTTAAAACACCCAATCAACAGATTGTTGCTGTATTACACGACATCTTGGAAGATACCGATACCACTGTGGTCGATTTAATCTCACTTGGCTTTAGTCAAGAAATTGTCGATGCCGTTGTTGCCTTAACCAAAAAAGAAGGTGAATCTAGAATCGAAGCCGCCTACCGCGCAGTAAAAAATCCAATTGCACGTGTGGTAAAACTGGCAGATGTTGCTGATAACATGGATATCACCCGTATTCCGCACCCGACCACTAAAGACCTTTTAAGATTAGAAGAATATAAGCAAGTTCAAAATATTCTCATGACAGGCAATGCCTAATCTTAGAAAATTTTCACAATTAACAAGTTGACTTGATGCAACAATTAAGTTTAATAGTGCGTCATTGTTGCAATTATGGAATGTATTTATGCTCACTGATTTGGATGACTTTTACTGCTTTGGTTTGGTTGTAGAGCATGGGGGATTTAGTGCGGCTGAACGTGCAACGGATATTCCTAAATCCAAGCTCAGTCGCCGCGTATATAATTTAGAAGAAAAATTAGGGGTTCGTTTAATTCAACGGAGTTCTCGCCATTTCGCAGTTACAGACATTGGTATGAATATTTACCGCCATGCCCAAGTGATGATGAATGCAGCACAATCAGCGCATGATCTGGTCGATCATCTCAGTGAACAACCCCGTGGTGTGATTAAAGTCAGTGTACCTGTGACGGTTGCGCAAAGTGAATTGTCCAAAATCCTTCCTGACTTTTTAAAAACTTACCCTGAAATTAGAATACAACTTTTGGTCAGTAATCGTCGTGTAGATATCATCAATGAAGGTTTTGATGTTGCCTTGCGCGTGCGCGCAAATCTGGATGATGACCCGAGCCTAGTGCTGAGAAAGTTTGGGCATATTGAACAGCACCTTCTTGCAAGCCAAGCCTATTTAAATGAATTTGGTATGCTCAAAAAACCAGAAGATTTATCTGAACACCGAATTTTAAGTATGGTTGATGAGCATTTAGATCAACAAATGGTGTTACATGATAGTGAAAACCAACAGAAAAAAATTAAAGTTAACCCGATAGTTATGGGTTCAGATTTAATGATGCTGGCTAAATTAGCCAGTCAAAATTGCGGTATTGCCTTACTTCCAGATACTATTGCCAATGATTTTGTCGCCACAGGTGAATTGGTTCGTGTCTTACCCGAATGGAAAGCACCGCATGGGATCTTTCACGCTGTTTACCCATCTCGCCGAGGCTTACTTCCTGCGGTAAGAGTCTTTATTGACTATTTGGTTAAGCACTTAAGTAAGTGTTGAACAACTCGTCATCATCATCACTAATCCTAGGATTATTTCAATAGACAAGCCGATCTAAATAAATTGACAAAGATGGACTGCAATCTGGTGTCCATCTGGTGCTATTTTTGATACCATCGCTACTGCTTAATTCCAATGTTTTTCTGATTTATATGACTTCATCTTATCAACAACAGCTTGATGCCAAAATTGAACGAATCCAAACTCAATTCGCAGAATTTAATCCACCTTCGTTAGAAGTATTTGCTTCACCTGAACAAAACTTCCGTATGCGTGCAGAATTCCGAATTTGGCATACTGAAGATGATATGTTCTATGCCATGTTTGAACGAGATGAAAATCAACAAAAAACTGTTGCTCGTATCGATGAATTTCCGATCGCAGATCAAAGTATAAATCAGCTTATGCCAGTTTTATTGGCTGAGCTAAAAGCCAATTCAGTCTTGTCAAAACGGCTTTTTGAAGTGCATTTTCTAGCAACGCTCAAGGGCGAAATGCTGGTTTCATTGATTTACCGTGCGCCACTGAGTGAAGAATGGGAAGTTTTAGCAAAACAATTGGCTGAAAAGCTGAATGTTAAAATCATTGGCCGCAGTCGTGGGCAAAAAGTTGTCTTAACCGATGAATTTGTTGTGGAAGAATTACAAGTTTTTGAGCGTAAATTTCAATATAAACAAATTGAAAGTAGCTTTACTCAGCCCAATGCGCAAGTTTGCCAAAAAATGTTGCAATGGGCGTGTCAGTCCGTTGCAGGTAAAAATAAAGACTTACTCGAATTGTACTGTGGTAATGGTAACTTTACCCTTCCCTTATCCTTGAGTTTTAACCGCGTTTTGGCAACTGAATTAGCGAAATCTTCGGTCTATGCGGCACAGTGGAATATTCAACAAAATCAGATCAACAATATTCAAGTTGCACGCCTTTCAGCAGAAGAGTTTACTCAGGCCTATAACGGCGAACGTGAATTCCGTCGTTTACAAGAAGCAGAAATAGACATTCAGGGCTATGAGTTTGATACAGTTTTTGTCGACCCACCACGAGCAGGGATTGATGACGAAACGTTAATGCTATTGCAAGGTTTTCAACGTATTCTTTATATTTCATGCAATCCAGACACATTACATGATAATTTAAAAACCTTGCTTAAAACCCATAAAATTGTGAAATTTGCGATGTTTGATCAATTCCCCTACACCCATCATGTAGAATCTGGGGTTCTTCTCGAAAAAATTTAAACAATTTATTACAAGATTAGACTGCCATGTAAATTAGCATGGCAGCTACTTCTTTAAATTATTTATTGATATATCATTAAGTTATAAATCATTTAAAACATGGCCTTTTAACAAACCGTTTAAAACATATCAAATCATCGAAAAAATCAGCCTATAACTCGACCATCTATTTCGCTCAGATCTTGTATTTTATTAAAAAACGGCTATATTTCGAACTATGTTAGGTTGTGTATGAAGGCTCTATGAGTTTTTGGCAAAAGCTGTTTACGGCTGAAGATACATTGCAAAATGAACATAAAAATCAAATTGCATGTGTTGAAAATGATTGCTCTTGTAAATCCAATGATCAACTTTTATCAGCGTTGATGAAAGCGACAGATCAGGATGTAATTACTGGGATTAAAAAGGTACTTATCTCTAGAGGTTTCAGTAAAAAAGAGTTAAACCAATTACAGCATCCACCTATTCAATAGTCATGGATGACGGCTAAGAAAGAAAAAGCATTCAGTTTACTGGATGCTTTTTTAATTCCAATAGAACAACTTTTGATGTTTTTCCTTGGCTTGTATACAATTATTTCAAAGAATAGATAAACGCAGAATCAACAATGAAAATTAAAATTGTTATTTTTTTATTATCACTCAACGCTTCAATTAGCTATGCAGATATCAACGATGATGAGATTCAAGCCATAGAAGATTTAACTGATCAAGTATTAGCAACCAAAAATCTTGCCAAACTTGAACCACAGATTAAGGCTCAAATCCAGAAAGCCCAACCCAATGTGCAAAAACTGTTAAAAGCCAAAGACATTGAATATAACGATTCTGTCTATTTACACAACTATGCGATTCTGGCTTCTGGATATGCTGAATATTTGCTTGAACAACACTGCACCACGCTCTCTCAGCCTTTTCAAGAACTTACTGAACAAGCGTATTTTGCGTTAAAAAAGCATGATCCTAAAGATACAATCGCAATCAATAATTTAGGGTTATTCTACGCGCAAATGTCGGTGTATTATCGGAAAAACATAGACCCAACGCCACGTCTAAACTATTTGCTAAAGGCTGAACAACTATTTGAGACCTTAATGAAGTTGCAACCAGACAATGAGGAGTATGAGAAAAATTATTATGCTGTACTCAGTGACAAACTGATGCTATTACAGAAATATCATCGTGATCAGAATGAGCAAAAACGCCTCATCAATATACTTAAAAAGCCTTTATTTCACTATTTATCTGATCCCAATCAAGCTTTCGATGCAGGAAATTTTATTATTTTAGCGCAACAGTATTTTAAATATCTCAATCGTGAAGACCCGAAACTTGCTGAAAAATGGTTACGTGATAATCAGGCTAAAATTGAAGCTGTAGTGAATAAGAATCGTAAGCAAACTCAACGAGAAAAAGAATTCCTCGCTGAATTCTATGCCCTGCTTGGTCAAACGGATCGAGCGCTGTCCTACTTAAAACAATTGGAATTTTCTGATGAGAACAATACAGAACCATCCTCTTTTGAAAATGAACCCAATCTTGCCAATTTAAGGCTAAATCCTGAATATCAGAAATGGTTTAAACAATATAAACAGGATTATGCTGCATACCGTAAAGCAATTCCCAAAATATGTAAGATCAATCAACTTGAAACAACACAAGATACAATAGAATAATGCTATTGAAGACTTAACGAATCAAACCTTGCGGTTGCAGAATAATCACCAAAGCCCCAATGATTACAATACAGCCGCCAAATAAATCCCAGCGAGTTAAGCTGACTTGATCGACAAATTTCAGCCACATCAGTGCACTAAAAATATAGATACCGCCATATGCGGCATAAATACGCCCTGAAGCAGCAGGATGCAAGGTCAATAGCCAGACAAATACAGCCAAACTTAAAACGGTAGGTATCCATAACCAATGGCTTTTATTTTGATTCAGAATTAAATAAGGAAAATAACAACCTAAAATTTCTGCAACAGCTGTGACAAGAAATAATAAAATCGTGGTTAAAATTTTAGTAAATGCAATGTCCATTGATACTCAAAGAATAATCATGAAGTTAGAGTATATGTGATTTTCACGCGAGCTAAGCAATAAAATTTTGAGCATACTAAAACGGCTAAGCTTTTATCTATAAATTGTAGTTGTTGTTTGCCTCATCCACAAAAACATACATATTTAAATATGCTGATCATTTTGTCATGTTAAAAATAGAATAAAATATCAACATCGACAATCTTTGGTTTTATGAATGAAAATAAATCATTTCTTGTTTAATTCCTTCATTTTCCTATGGCTTAGCCAAAATGTAGATGCAGCAACACTAAGTCTTCCATTGTGGCCCAATACCGCAACACTAGCACCATCCAGTGAACAATATACGCTAATTAAGCACGGCGCTATTCGCCATATCACTTCCCCTCAATTGCGTGTATATCCCCCCAAACAGAGCAATCACATCGCTGTTTTAGTCATCAGTGGTGGTGGTTATGCCAGAGAGGAATTGGCCAAAGAAAGCACGCCAACTGCACAGTTTTTACAAGAACAGGGATTTACTGTATTTGAATTAATTTACCGCTTACCTAATCAGGATGGCAATAATCTGCTTGCACCCTTTCAAGATGGCCAAAGAGCCCTGCGTATCATTCGTTATCAAGCACATCAATTCAACATTGATCCATACAAAATTGGTGTACTGGGTTTCTCCGCAGGTGGACATTTAGCTGGAATCATTGCGACACAATGGCAACAACAATTTTCGAATTCAAATGATCCGATTGATCAAATTTCTGCTCAGCCTAATTTTGTGGCGCTACTCTATCCAATCATTAGTATGCAAGCGCCGCTTGATCATACCCATGCTTATAAAAGCTTATTTGGCTCAAAACATGATTTAGCCAAACAAATCTTGTTTTCTGTTGATTTACAAGTCAAACAGAATACACCTCCAACCTTTTTAGCCCATGCCATAGATGATCCGATTTCACCTGTTCAGAATAGCCTCAATATGCAAACCGCTTTGCAGCAACACAAGATCGCTTATGAATTACATCTTTTCAAAAATGGTGGGCATGGTTGGGGCTTAGGCAAAGCCAATACTGAAACAATGCAATGGCCCACATTATTCCTAGCTTGGTTAAAGAAAATTGATATTTTATAAGCTTATAATTCAAAAAATAACCCGCAATCAATGCGGGTTATTTTAAAGTTCATTCACAACTATGCTGGTTCAGCAGTCTGATCTTCAAAGACTTCTAATGTAAGCCCTACCGCCTTACCATTTTCTTTCTTCACAGAAACAGCAACATTACCACCATGATCTGCAAGCTCACCAAATAGAATCATCTCAGCAAGAGGTTTCTTCAAATGTTCCTGAATCAAACGTTGCATTGGGCGAGCACCCATTAAACGATCATAGCCATTCTCAGCCATCCAATCGCGAGCAGATTGATCAACTTCCAGCACCACTTTTTTGTCATCTAACTGCGCTTGAAGTTCGGTTAAGAATTTATCAACAACAGACTCAATCACTGTGGTAGGTAATGCTTTAAACTGAATTACACCATCTAAACGGTTGCGGAACTCTGGTGCAAATGCACGTTTCATCGCTTCCTGATTGTCATTACTATTGTCTTGCTCAGTAAAACCGATACTGTTACGAGAAATACTTTCAGCACCGATATTGGTGGTCAATACAATAATCACATTACGGAAATCAGACTTACGTCCATTGTTGTCGGTTAAAGCACCATGATCCATGACTTGCAATAACAAGTTAAAGACATCTGGATGTGCTTTTTCAATTTCATCTAATAACAAGACACAGTGCGGATTCTTATGAATCGCGTCAGTCAGTAAACCACCTTGATCATAACCAACATAACCTGGAGGCGCACCAATCAAACGAGAAACCGCATGACGTTCCATATATTCAGACATATCGAAGCGAACAAGCTCTACACCCAACAATTTTGCCAATTGCTTGGTCACTTCTGTTTTACCAACGCCCGTAGGGCCTGCAAAAACAAAACTACCCACTGGTTTATCTGGCGCTTTCAAACCTGCACGTGACAGTTTAATCGCAGAAGCCAAGGCTGTAATCGCTTCATCTTGACCGAATACCACACGTTTAAGATCACGCTCTAGATATTCAAGTACCGATTTATCATCTTTAGATACTGTTTTTGGCGGGATACGTGCAATCTTCGAAATAATATCTTCGATATTTTCAACTGTAATCAAAGTATCATCTTGTTCAGCTTTTAAACGACGTTGTGCACCAGCTTCATCAATCACATCAATCGCCTTATCTGGCAAGAAACGATCATTAATAAACTTAGCAGACAACTCAACCGCTGAAACTAGCGCAGTATCTTCATATTTAACATGATGAAAATCTTCAAACTTGCTTTTCAAACCACGCAAAATATCAATTGTCTCTGAAATAGAAGGCTCATTCACATCAATTTTTTGGAAACGACGTGATAGTGCATGATCTTTTTCAAATACTTGGCGATATTCTTGGAAAGTGGTTGAACCAATACAACGTAAACTACCATTCGCCAACGCAGGTTTAATTAAATTCGATGCATCCATGGTACTGCCCATACTTGAGCCAGCACCAATGATCATATGAATTTCATCTATAAATAAAATTGCTTCTGGTTTCTTTTTCAAAGCATTGAGAAGCTGTTTCAATCGTTTTTCAAAGTCACCACGGTATTTTGTACCCGCAACCAATGCACCGATGTCTAAACTAAACACTTCAGCAGTCGCAAGTGGCTTAGGCGCTTTACCATTCACAATCAACCATGCCAGACCTTCAGCAATCGATGTTTTACCCACACCAGGATCACCCACAAGCAATGGGTTGTTTTTACGGCGACGGCAAAGAATTTGAGCAGTTCGTTCAATTTCTTTTTCACGCCCGATTAAAGGATCAGTTTTGCCTTTTTGCGCTTCAATATTCAAATTCAAAGTATAAAGTTCAAGTGGTCCAGCATTTGCTGAAGCATTTGATTCACCTTCTAAATCATCAGATTCTTCTTCAACTTGAATTTCTTCTTTACGCGCACCGTGTGACAAATATTGGGTTAAAGTCAAACGATTGATTTGATGTCGTTTTAGCAAATAAACGGCAAAAGAATCTCGCTCAGAGTACATCGCAACCAGTACATCTGCACCCTCTACTGTGCGATCACCGCCACTTGACTGAACGTGGAAAATTGCACGTTGTAAGATACGGTCAAAACTTTCAGTTGGATGAGGGGCTTGGTCGTTGTTTTCTCCTAGTTTAGGGGTATGTTGTTCTACATACTCCTCTAACTCTTTGCGCAAACTGATAATTTCAGCACCGCATGCTTTTAAGGCATTTACCGCTGAATCGTTATCAAGTAAAGCCAATAATAAATGTTCAACCGTAAGAAACTCATGTCTCTTTTGACGAGCCATGCTAACAGCCAAACGGAGTGAAACTTCTAATTGACGACTGAGCATGAAACCCCCTTATTCTTTTGGCTCAATCTGACAAAGCAATGGATGACCTTGAGATCGAGCGTAGTTATTAACTTGGTTGGCTTTAGTCTCCGCAATGTCTCTTGGATAAACACCAGCTTCACCTTTTCCTTCATAATGTACTGTTAACATTACTTGAGTGGCTTGGTCAAGATTCAAAGCAAAGTATTGTTGTAAAATTTCAATAACAAAGTCCATCGGAGTGTAATCATCGTTCAATAAAACGACAGAATACATCGGTGGTCGCTTCACTTCAGGTGGCGCAGTTTGTACTGCAACATCTGCTTGATCATGGTCTGGATGGTTTGGATCTTCTGAATTACTTATACGAATACTCAAGTGCCAATCTATAAATCCTGAATCACGGAATGATGATTTCACTTCATTTAAACTCATTTGACGTTTATTAGTTCGCATATTTTTCAAAATACTTATGATTTATTGAGAATTAGCCGCAGCTTGAGGAACCTCTGCAGCAAACGCAGCTGCACTGTCTACAGCTTGTCCACGTGACCAACTAAAGCGTTTAACCACTGGCGTGGCACCATTTAGACGGATTTCGATAAATTGTGGATTAAAGCCCTTAGGCATGGTCCAACGACCAGTTAAACGCTCATAATCAGTAAAGTTATAATTCGCATCTGCCATTGGCACTGTTAATACCTCAGTACCACTAATCAAACGAATTTCGACAGAACCCGTCGCACGTCTTGGACTGACTTGAATAAGATCAAGCTGATATTCATAAGCGTTTTCTGGTAATGGCTTAACCGCCAAGTTTTGAATGGTTAAACTCAAACCGCCACGTTGTTTTAACACTTCACGATAAATCGCACTCATCACATCAACTTGTGATTTTTCAGCATTGGCTTTGTTCAATGACTCTAACAAATCGTTAGAATTCGAAACAGCCACGTCTCGTTCCTGTACAGCAGCATTTAGGCTTTTATTTAAATTAGCCAGCGTTGTTTTTTGTTGCTTCACAACTTCTACCAACTGTTCTGCATCTGCATCAAAACCGACTACCGTTAGCCCTTGGCGATGTCCAACCGTATAACCTAAAAGTACACTGCCAGCACATAATACAACCCCACCGATCACCAAAGGCATATTCCCTTTTAAAAAAGGCTTTTTCGGTGCTTGAGCTGGTTGTGACGCGGTATTTGTTTCTGTGTTCTGCATCATCATCTCTAAGTATTATTGATAGAATCAAAACACACATTTAACCGCAAAGTTATATGTGTGTGAAGCCATAAAGCGTTTTTTATGGTAATAATCCGATACCTTGTAAACCAGCATCTTCAGCAAAACCAAACATTAAGTTCATATTTTGTACAGCCTGTCCTGCCGCACCTTTGACTAAATTGTCTTGAACAGACAAAACAATTAACTTATTCGGATGCGGTTTATACAGTGCAATTCTGAGTTGGTTTGCACCACGTACAGAACGTGTTTCTGGTGAACTATTTGCAGGCATTACATCTACAAATATTTCATTTGCATAAAATTTTTCATAAAGACTTTGTAAATCTGCTGCTGCGCCTTGCTCTGTCAAATCAACATAGATTGTACTGAACATACCACGAATCATCGGAACCAAATGTGGTACAAAAAGAATCTGATCAAATACATTTTTTTGACCTGAAATATTTTCTAATGCTTCTACAATTTCAGGATGATGACGATGTCCAGCAACGCCATAGGCTTTAAAATTATCTGCATTTTCTGAATAAATCATGCCCAAACTAGCTTTACGCCCCGCACCTGATACACCAGATTTCGCATCAATGATAATACTTTCTGGTTTAACCAATGTTTCAGCTTGCTTAAAAAGTGGCGCTAATCCCAACTGTACAGTGGTTGGGTAACAGCCAGGATTACCGACAACATTGGCATTTTTAATCTGTTCACGATTAAGTTCAGATAAACCATATACAGAATCTTTCAGTACTTCTGGACAAGCGTGCTGCATCCCATACCATTTTTCAAACTGTGCTAAATTCTGCAAGCGAAAATCAGCGGCTAAATCGATAACTTTGGTATTTGCTGCCAAAAGTTGTTGTGCATGCTGCATTGCCACACCATGCGGGGTCGCAAAAAACACAACATCACATTTTTTTAATTCATCAATGTTTAAATCTGAATATTTAAGCTCGGTGTGTCCACGTAAGCTTGGAAACATATCATCTACACGGCGACCATCTTCGGTACGTGATGTCAGTACATTCACTTGAACATTTGGATGTCGTAGTAAAAGACGCAACAATTCAACGCCTGTATAACCTGTTCCACCGACAATACCCACTGAAATCACGTTTTTTACCTCGATTTAAAAGTATCCATTTTGTAGTGCTGTAGTATGACAGGAAGTTGATGCTTTCTAAACTATTTTACTGGGTTTTTATGATATTTTAGCATTATGACAAAGTTAAATTCGCATAAGTTCGATTGATGCATCTTGCGCAATACAGTTGCGCCCTCTACGTTTGGCAACATACAAAAGTTTGTCAGCAGCTTCTATACCGCTGGCTAAATTACGATGTCTCACTTGTGTTAAGCCAAAGCTGGCTGTCAATAAGATCGATTGAGTTAAAAATTGCTCAGTCTCAATAGCAGTTCGCATACGCTCAGCAATTTTATAGGCATAACTGAGATCTTCAACTTGTAATAAAACAATATACTCTTCACCACCAAAACGCCCCACTAAGCCCTTTTCACCGACATGCTGACTGACAAGACGACCTACGCTTTGCAAAATCTGATCACCGACCAGATGCCCATGGGTATCATTAATTTTCTTAAAATGATCGACATCACACATCAGCAAAAAATATTGTTTTTCTGGCAAATCGATTAAATTGATTTTAGCTGCATCATAAAAGCCACGGCGATTGAGTAAATGCGTTAATGGATCTCTAGAACGTTCATCATTTAATTTCAAAATAATGTCTCGAACTAATGTCCCTAAAAGTACGATCGCAAACCACATGCTCAGGATAATACTGGCAGCAAGCATCATTAACCACCATACTGAATTTACAAGCATACTGGCTTCAATATTTTTCAAAAAAAAGAAAATAATAATGACGCGGACAAAAGTATATAAAACAATAAAAAGGTAAGAATAATCGACCAGCTTATTTAACCAATCACTTTGCTTATCATCTTTAAAAATAGATACTAAAACTAAGGATTCAACTGTGGCAATGCTCAGGTTTAAAATTAGCATGCGCATCCATAGCTGTTCATCAACAAAAGAATAATAGACCAGCAGACATATTGTGATAAGGATCAAAATGAAAGCCACTAAAGTGTGCGCACTGGCTTTCTTTCTCAATGCCATAGTATAGGCGCTGGCCCATGCACCAAATAGGTATAAACCACCAACAACAGGGGCTGAGAATGTTAATTGTTGGTTAGACATAAAACTCTGTGCAGCTAAAGCAAAAGACGGCACGATATATCCAAGACCCAACCAAAATAAATAAGTAGGTGCTTTAAAAAAATAATGGCAGATCAAAAGTAAACTGCCCATTAATATCAGGCAGATCGGTACAATCAAAATAAAGTAATGAGTATCTGCAAAATTCACGTCTGATATCTTTATGATAAGAAATAGGAAATATTGGCAAGTCGCCAAGTTTAGAGTATTTTTTTATTCGCTCCCAACTTATGCTTAAAATAATCAGACTATTTTGTAATTTAACTGCTTTTATTAAGAAATACTTTTAAAGCATTATACCATCACTTAAAATTCATGATGATAAATACACAAATAAACATGTAATTTAATGACATCGCCTATAAAATCATCAAATTAAACCTCTAAAAAAAATGATAAACAAACCTTTTCATTTTAATTCTCGTTTTTGGCATAAAAGACTATTCAAACAAATTCAAAGAAAACGGTCTTGTCTTGCTAAATGATCTATGCATAATAATTTAGAGTAATTACTCTAAAATCAACAAAAGGACGCATTGGTCATGATTGGATCACGAGCGTGGATGAATACAAGTAATGGAAAACTTAGCTTTAAAGAGAAAACTCAGCTTATAAAACAAGTCCTCATTCCTGCCACACTGAACTATGGCAAAACATTTCGAAAGGCGAATCATGATTCAACTTCATTTACATTGGATAGTTTTCAGATTCCTGACACAGCAATTGTCAAAGAAGCAATGGACGAATTAGAACAAACAGCCTCTCAAGCGATCATCAATCATTCTTGGCGGAGCTATTTTTGGGCTGTTGCTATCGCCCACACCAAACAATGGCAATTTGATCAAGAGAGTCTTGTTATTTCATGTTTGATGCATGATTTAGGACTGGTTAATCATTTGGATCAATATGCATGTCAATGTTTTAGCTTTGAAAGTGCCTTAAGAGCTGAAACCCTCTGTAGCAAACACCATTATCCCGAAGACAAAATGGTTAATATTTCAAATGCGATTTGTTTACATATGAATGGCAGTTTAGATGAAAGTGATCACAGTCTTTCTAAAGAAGTGCTATTACTGCAAAAAGCCACTTCCTGTGATGTAATTGGGACTGATCTCAGCTTATTTTCAAACAGTTTTAAAAACAAAATTTTAAGCCAATATCCGCGGGTACATTTTAATTCAGAAATGCGTAAACTTATCTCAATTGAAGCAAAAAGAAACCCTCAATCACGAACTGCTTTAATGCATACACTCGGACTTTCAAGCATGATTCAAATGAATATTTTTAAGGACTAAATCATGAAAAATACATCTTTCACCCAAAAGAATATTGATTTTGGGCAATATCCAATTGTAGTCGATATTTATTCCAACCCTGAAAATACCCATAGTATTATTTTGCTGGCTGCGCTTGGCATAGCAATCAATAAATACGAGGTGCTCATTACCGCTTTAAGCCAAAGTGGCTTGAATGTTATTGTGGCTGATTATCCTCATTGTGGGCGTAATACTCCGCCTGTTTCAGCAAAGATTGATTATGGTTATGCTGATTTACTCAATGACTTTATTCCTCAACTGGAAAAGCTAGCCTTAGAACTGAACCAACAAGTTCCAATCTTATTTGGACATAGTTTAGGTGGACATTTAGCAACACTTTATGCACAAAATCATGCAAATAAAGTCATTGGTGTTGCCACAGGCAATATCGGTTTAAAAAATTGGGACTTAAAAGGTAAAATCAATATTTTAAAAGCAGTCACGGTAATCAATGCCATGATTTTAAAAGATGGTTATTTTGCAGGCTATAAAATTGCTTTTGGGAATAAAGAGACAAAATCCTTAATGCGTGATTGGTCTAAAGTTATCTTTACAGGAAATTATGCACATATTATTGGTCAAGAAAACGTGGTGAATAACGCTGCCTTATTTGTCTATTTAAATGGCGATGATTTTGCACCAATGTCTTCAATGCTTGGCCTAAGTGGTTATTTTAAAAACCCACAAATAAACACGCTGGATTTAACCCATAAAACTAAAGGCAATCAACATAGTGCATGGATTAAACAGCCTGATGAAGTCGTCGAAATAATTATAGAATGGGTCAATAGTTTTACTGAATAAGTTTTGCTTTTGACATCAATATATATCCACCTTCTTCACTTACTCCAGTGCTGATTGCTTCCCAGCCATAACCTAAATAAAAAGACAAAGCTTGTTTATTTTCAGATAAACATTTGAGATAGCCTGTACCCGTAAACAGTTGTTCTGCTGCGTGTAGCAATGCTGTCCCTACACCCTGATTTTGAGCATTTGGGGCAATAAATAGATGATGTAAAAAGTTCTCTTGCAGGTAAATAGATGCAAATCCCAAATATTCTTGGTCTTTTTCAGCCACTAAAATCATTTCATTTTCGGTGTATTTTTCAAAATCACTCAGCCCCCATTTCGAAGAATCCAACCACGGCCAACTTAATTTTCTGGTATTTAAAAAAAGTTCACTCAATGGTGCTCGGTCATGATTTTGAAAAGATCTGATGTGCATCGCTGTATCTCAATTAAAGTCCCTATAACCTTACCTTATTTAAGCCAACCTTATTTAATCTAGTGTTATTGCTCTTTCCCCAATCACCTCAACAATTCGTAATAAATAACCATCTGGATCTTGAACTAAAAATTGCTTTTGTCCATGCTCTATAGTTTCTGCACGGTACCAACGTTCTTCTAACGCTGCAAACAGCGGCCATTGTGCGACATCCAAACGATTTAAAATACTGTCGAGTTGGTCTACTTCGAACTGAAAGTTAATCCCTCTTCCCAATGGATAGGCCAACACTCCTGTTAACCATTGCCCTTGTTGCTGTTGCTCTAACATAAACTGAACACCATCAAGTTCCACATAGATAAATTTTTCTTCAGTCCGTTGATACATTACAGAAAAACCCAATATTTCCACCCAAAAATGATAACTTTTATCCAAATCGGTAACGATCAGTTCTGGAACTAATTTATTCCACTACATTTTAAAACCCAACTTAAGTCATTAAATTTCTTAATATTCAATATGTTGTAAAATATTTACAACCTTTCCAAATGGATCTTTGACATAGAATCGCCTAACACCCCAGTCTTCATTGGTTAACGGATAAAGAATGTCTAAATCTAATTTTTTGGCTTTTTCATAAAGCTCATCCACATTGTCGACTTCGATTGAAAAATCGGGTACATCTGTATTATTTCCACCTTCCGAAGCAATACTGATTTGTGGATGCATGATTTCCTGACTGGCAAATGTTTTGATCCAGCCATGATCCATCACCAAGTCCATCGCTAAAAAATCACCATAAAAAAGCTTGGGCACTGGCTAAATCTAAAGCTTTAATATTACTTATGATTCTTTTTACAGTCATACGCTTTTCCTCATTTTTTTGTTTTAATGCAATCTAGAAATTTAATTATTTTATTAGACCCACCACCAAGGCATTACGCTACTTTTTAAAACTTTACGATGCTGCTGATAGTGTTGATCATGCTTTTCAACTTCAGACCAAAAAGCAGCGCTATGATCAAAATGTTTGGTATGTGCCAATTCATGTACACAGACATAACGGGTAATGTGTTGATCACATAAAACCAATGCACTATTGAGCATAATATCATGACGGGCTGTACAACTTCCCCAACGCGTTTTCGGGTGTCGAACAGCACACTGTCCAAACTTTAAATGGGTTTCATCACTGACTTGCTTTAAATAAATCGGTAAATAATGCTTTGCATAAGCAATCACAAAAGCTTTTAAATAGCTTTCTGGCTGACGCTCGCTGACAAATAACTGATGCTTTTGCTCATCTAAAATATAGCTATTTTTTTGAGTTTTATAAATAATTTCTAGGGGCAGTTTTAAATTAAACAGTTGCAAGCTTGTCGGTAATATCTGATCAACCTGCTGTATTTTTTCCTGCTGTTTATGCCATGTCTCAATCATCCATTGTTCAGACTCGTGTAAAAAATGCTGAATTTGACGTTGGGTACAATACTTAGGCACAGTTAAGCGAATCTGCGTCGGTTCAACACGTAAACGTAAGCGTGTTGCCCGTGCATGATGTGTGATTTTTATTTCAGGAAGATTTGCCATCTTAATACGCTTATTTTTAGAATCTCCCCCAACCTTTCTTTACAAAGCAAGGAAAAGCCTTGTCTTTACTCAAGCAGAAGTTAGGGGAAATTTTTCTTATCCTGCGGTACGCTCTTCAATACCATGATTGGTGGCAACTACAGCAACATCAGCTTTATTGATCGCAAAAATACCATTACACACCACACCAGGAATATCGTTAATAGTTTTTTCGACCTCTAATGCATTCAAAATATTTAAGTTATAGACATCTAGAATGACATTACCGTTATCCGTTACCACACCTTCACGATAAACTGGGTCACCGCCTAAAGATACGATTTTACGTGCAACGGCTGAACGTGCCATAGGAATCACTTCGATAGGCAATGGAAATTCACGGCCTAATTGATCGACCCATTTCGAGTCATCAACAATACATACAAACTTTTTCGCAATAGATGCCACGATTTTTTCACGTGTGAGTGCAGCACCACCGCCTTTAATCATATGTAAATGACGGTCAATTTCATCAGCACCATCTACATAAGCATCTAAACCACCAACATGGTTCATATCAACCACTTCAATGCCTAATTTCTTAAGACGTTGAGCTGTTGCTTCTGAACTGGCTACGGCTGCTTCAAGTTGTAACTGAGGTAATAATTCAATTAAGAAGTTCACTGTACTACCAGTACCGACTCCCAAAATGCCCCCTCTTGGTAAGTGTTTTAAAGCGGCTTGGGCTGCAGCTTGTTTTTTCTCGTCCTGGGTTGCATAAAGGCTCATGACATCTCTCAATAAAATTTCAATTTCCTGCACATTTTGCATAATTTTAAAACGCAAAGGTACAACGGTTTGTTACAATGAGCGCTCATTTTAAACTGTTAGATGGAAAATTAACATGCTGTCTCGTTTGGTTCGACAAATATTACAGGCAACGGTGTATGACGTTGCAATCGAAACCCCACTCGAAGCAGCGCCACGAATTAGTGAAAAACTAAACAATAACATTCGCTTTAAACGCGAAGATTTACAACCTGTCTTTTCCTTCAAACTACGCGGTGCGTATAACCGTATTAGTCAATTACCGAAATCTCAGTTGGAACGTGGCGTTATTACTGCTTCAGCAGGTAACCATGCTCAGGGCGTGGCTTTATCTGGTCAAAAGTTAGGTATTCGCGCCATTATTGTGATGCCAAAAACCACCCCTGATATTAAAGTTCAAGCAGTAAAACGTTTGGGTGGTGATGTTGTGCTTCACGGCGACTCATTTGATGTTGCTAACAAGTATGCCATTCAACGTGCAAATGACGAAGGTTTAACCTTTATTCCGCCTTATGATGATGAACTGGTTATGGCCGGCCAAGGTACAATTGCCAATGAAATATTGCGTCAATGGCGTGATGTTGAATACGTATTTGTTGCTGTGGGCGGTGGTGGTTTAATTGCAGGTGTAGCGGCATATCTTGGTGATGTTGCCCCGCATGTCAAAGTTATTCCTGTCGAATATGATGAATCTGCATGTTTAAAAGCTGCATTTGAAGCCAATCAACGTGTAATACTCCCTTCTGTAGGATTATTTGCAGATGGCACAGCCGTTGCTCAAATCGGTGAAAAGCCATTTGAAGTGATTCAACTACAAAAATCTGATAACTCAGGTCCAATTGTTGAACGTGATGTGATACTGGTCAATACAGATGAAATCTGTACGGCAATTAAAGATACTTATGATGAATGTCGTAGTATTGTTGAACCTTCAGGTGCTATGGCGCTTGCAGGTATCAAAAAATACGTTGCGGCACATGGTCTTGAAGGCAAAAATATGGTGTCGATTGTTTGCGGCGCCAATATGAACTTTGATCGTTTACGTTATATTGCTGAGCGTACCGAACTCGGTGAACGTAAAGAAGCCATTTTTGCAGTGACCATTCCAGAAGAAAAAGGTTCTTTCCTGAATTTCTGTCGTGCTTTGCAAGGGCGTAATATTACTGAGTTTAACTACCGTGCCAGTGATGCATCTGCCGCTCAAGTCTTTGTCGGTATTAGCTTAAAGGCTGGTGAAAAAGAACGCCATGACATCTATGAAGCCATGAAATTACATTATGATGTCGATGATTTATCGGATGATGAAGTTGCAAAATTGCATATCCGTTATTTGATTGGGGGTCATGCCGATATTGCCAATGAACGTTTGTTCCGTGTTGAGTTTCCAGAACGCCCAGGCGCTTTATTAACATTCTTGGAGCGCCTTGGTCCAACCCATAACATTAGCCTATTCCATTATCGTAATCACGGTGCAGCAGAAGGACGTGTTTTGGTTGGCTTGGATGCAGAAGATGCGGTACAAAATCCAGATGGACTGATTGAGACTTTGGAAAATATCAATTACCCATATCAAGAAATTACCAATAACTTAGGTTATCAACGTTTCTTAAAATAGAAATAGCTTCAAAATCGAAATAGCCTATAAATTTTTTATGGGCTATTTTTTATAAAATGTGACTCATGTATAATGAGCAAAACTTTAAACAGGTCAAAATAATGAAAACATGGACAAAGTTTATTTTTATTCCTTTTGCAGCCTATCTACTGATAAATACCTTGGTATTTATGTTTGGCTATACCCCTTCTAAAGTTCTTTCTATCATGACTTTATTCGCTTTGCTTAGTATGTTGTTTTTAATTTCAATCCCTCAATATCTTATGCTACGTCTTGCACCTAAAGCACCGTACATATCTACCCTAAGCTACGTGTTCATCTTAGGCGGGCTTATATCATTGGCGAGATCATATTTACTAAATCACAATTTCAATCAACTCGATCTATCCATTTTTGTAGTGCTTTTATTCAGTACATTACTCACAATGGGATTTTATTTCTTCTTCCAAGACCCACGTTTTAAAGTAAGATATAGACTGAACAGAATTTAAAAAGTTTATAAGATAAATAGCATGAAGCACATCAAATGATGTGCTTCATCAGAACAATTCGAAAAAGTTAACTTAATAAACCGCCATATTTAAATCACCATCATCATTAAATGCGTCATTAAAAGCATCCACAATTTGATTTAATTGTTGCTCATCTTGTGTAGGTACAAGCATCCAATACGGATTTTCACGATATATAACCAATAAAGAAAGCTGATACTGATTTGCAACCTGTTTAATTTTATCGAAAATGATTTCTTCTGTTTGTTGCATTGCGTCCATTTGATCATCAAATGAGACCTCATCATCTTCTTCATCGTATTGATCAAATATTTCAGCTATTGCAACTTCAATCTCATTTTGCAATTGCTCAGTATCAATATTGTGCTGGTTAAAGTAGAAATCATCTTCAACTCCATTGTCATAATATTCTTTTAATTCAATATAATGCAGGAAATCATGCTGTTGATTCAGCCATTCACTAAAACTATAAAATTTAGTATCTTGAGGAATTTCTTGTGCATTTAGCTCGGGAATTAAATGTTGAAGCAATGAATATATTTTCTGTGACATGGATATCTCTCTATTTTATTATCAATATGTTGAATTAATTGCAAAAAACTAAGTCGATCTTGAGCAATCAAATAATGCATAATGTTCTATACTGACATCTTCATCATGAAATTGTTTATTAAAACACTTGCAGAACTTTTCAATTTTATATTCATGATTCGGTACGATCAACCAATAATAATCTTCAGCATAAATCAGCAACAGTTCATGATCATGTTGTCTGGCCTGTTTTAATATTTCTTCAAAAACAACATCATAAACTTGATCTTGAACATTGTAATAGCGTCCAATAACATCTTTGTGTACTTCATAATGATCAAATAAAGGCTTCGCTCTTTCACGAATTTGATTTTGAATTCCCAAGCTATCTACTGCATATTCATGAAAAACCGCACAACGCTCAATCTCATTTTCATGAAATTGCATACGATCAATTTTCATTAAATATCCACGAAATCGCCCACCAAACTTTTCAGCTTCGATCCAATTGAGAAACTCGACAAAACGTTTACGATGTTTCTTTTTAGGAATATCTCTTTGCTCCAACGCTGGGAACCAATGTTGGAGAATTTTAAAAATTTTCTTATCGTCCATTTTTTTATCATCCATTTTTTATTCTTGGATCGAAAGCCCAATCTTGGCTTTGCATTTTGAAATTTCAAAGCAATGATATCGGATCAATTTTAAGTTTTTATGACATAAATCTGGTTTTATTTACATTTATCGCTTTTTATTCTCAGTTTGTAGATTGGCGTTGCAATACTTTAAAGATAAAATATATAAAAATTGAATATGATCATACCAACACAAAATCAGTGTCGGGATAAGGACTTTGTAGAATGGCGCAATTCGCTGTCATCGGTTTAGGCAGTTTTGGTGAAGCAGTTGCACTAGAACTCACCAACTTAAATCACGATGTAATAGGTATTGATACATTAAAGAAAAATGTAGAAAACATTGCAGATAAAATCAGTCATGCAGTTATTGCAGATGCTACCGATGAACATGTGTTAGATGAACTGAATATCAAAAATTGTGATGCCGTAGTGGTTGCCATTGGTGAAGATATTGAAGCCAGTATTCTATGCGTACTGCATTTAAAAAATTTGGGTATCGAAAAAATCTTTGTAAAAGCCAAATCTAAATCGCATCATATGATTTTGTCTCATTTAGGCATTACAAAAATCATTCACCCTGAAGAAGACATGGGGATTCGTGTTGCACAATCACTCAGTTATCCAATGGTGAGACGTTATATGGCGTTAAATAATGATCGCTATATCGTCAAAATTGAAATAGGTGCAAATTTACAAGGCGCACAATTTCAAACGGTCATGGAAAATACCCCCGAACTTACAACCTTGTTATTACAACGCGGCTCGCATGTACTGTATGATATTGCACCGGGGACGATTTTACAGGAAAAGGATATTTTAATCCTTGAAGGACCTGTAGAAATGTTAAGACAATTTTCGATTCGTTTCTTATAGTCATAACTATGCGTTTATCTAAAAAAGAACTAATCAACAAAAAACACAATAGTATTAATCTCAGCCCACCGAGCTTACTTGCTTTAGGTTTTTTAAGCTTTATTATCATCGGAACATTGTTACTTAAACTTCCTTTTGCTAATCAAGGCAATTTGACATGGCTAGAGGCCCTGTTTACTGCCACGTCTGCTGTAACCATCACTGGGCTGTCTGTCGTTAATATTGGAGACTCCTTAACTACCTTCGGTCAAGTTGTGGTGATGATACTGATCCAATGCGGTGGCTTAGGTTTTATGACATTTGCGATCTTAGCTGCTTTGAGTCTTTCCTCAAAAGTTGGTATTCGGCAGCAAGTCATGGCACAAGAAACCATTGGTCAAACCAGTTTGGCCAAAGCGACCTTTACTGTAAAAGGGGTTTTTCTTTACTCCTTGTTCTTTGAAGCGATTGGTACAGGGATTCTAACCATGGCATGGTCACATCACTATGACCTTGAACATGCATTTTTTTATGCGCTTTTTTATAGTATTTCTGCTTTTAATAATGGTGGGTTTTCTTTATTCCCCAATAGCTTAATGAGCTTCTCTGACCAGTATATGGTGACATTTACCATCAGTATGCTGTATATCATCGGTGGGATTGGTTTTGTTGTGTTGATGGATATTAAAAGAGCCAAGCGTTGGAAGAAACTCTCCACCAATAGTAAGTTAATTCTGTCTACAATTGCGGGCTTAAACCTTTTTGCCTTTATTGTTATTTGGGCAATCGAAGCATCCAATCCTTTAACATTGGCTCCAATGTCTGTTGGTGACCAAGCTTTAAACGCGTGGTTCCATGCTACCGTACCTCGTTCATCAGGTTTTAACAGCTTGGAAGTCAGCAGTATGACCAATGCATCAACCTTAATTACCATGGTATTGATGTTTATTGGTGGCGGTTCTTTAAGTACCGCTGGTGGAATTAAAGTTGGCACATTTATTATCATGATTTTAAGTGTCATTACTTTCTTAAAACGTTCAGATGAAATTACCATTTTTGGGCATTCTGTTTCTCATCAAGCGACCTTTAAGGCAATGGCGGTCATTTCAATTACTTCACTGCTGATCCTGATTGGCTTTTTTACCCTACTGATCCTTGAGCCTGATAAAAAGTTTTTAGACTTATTATTTGAAGCCGTTTCTGCGGCTTGTACTGTCGGCTTATCACGCGGAATCACTGAAAATTTACATGCTGGCAGCCAAATCGCTTTAATTTGTCTAATGTTTGCTGGACGCTTAGGACCACTAACACTGGCTTATTTGATTGCTACACCGAATAAAAGTCGTGTTCGTCACCCAAATACTGAAATTCAGGTGGGTTAATTGTTTTTAGTCATCAAGCGAATACAACTAAAACAGCTTTGGTTTTATAAGTTTGTTTAATCTTAATGCATACTGATGACAGTATCCCCCTCATAAAAAAAGCGATCTTATCAATGATAAGATCGCTTTTTTTACATCTTTCTAAGGATGATTATTCTACTTCTAACTCACTATTGCCTTTAATCAAACGATGCTCTGACTGTAAATATTCATCTGATTGCATTTCGAGTAAACGAGAACGTGTACGTTCAATTTCGAAAGCCAGCTTCTCTCCGTCATAAATCTCAATAATCGAGTCTTGAGATGTTAGTAACAGCTTTACTCCACGGTCATAAAACTCATCTACCAGATAAATAAAACGACGTGTACCTTCTGACAGCAAATCAGTTAAGTGCGGAACATTACTCACCAAAACGGTATTATAGATATTGGCAATTTCAATAAAGTCTGATGGACTACGCGGTTTCATACAGAGTTCTCTAAACTCACACCACAATACATCTTCTGTATGGCCCAAAGTTTCAACAACACGGTTATTAATCGTAATTGGTTCTTCTGACACTGTCTGCGATGTGGTTAATGCATTAAAACGCTTTGCCATCCAGACTTTATTGTCATCTGTCAGTGGCGATTTAAACAATTGCGCTTGTTTTAATACCCGTAAACGATAGTCAACACCCGCATCAACATTCAATACCACACAATGTTTTTTTACCATTTCAATCGTTGGAATAAAACGATCACGATGGATTCCATTTTTATATAAACCATCTGGGGCAATATTTGATGTGGCAATCAAGGTAATGCCACGGGTAAATAATTTTTGGAATAAATCACTGAGAATCATTGCATCGGTTACATTCGATACAAAGAACTCATCAAAACAAATCACCACAGCTTCTTTATAAATTTGATCTGCAACGATATCTAAAGGATTACGCTGTCCAGAAAGCTTGTTTAACTCTTTATGCACAAATTGCATAAAGTGATGGAAATGCATACGGGTTTTACGGCGAAAAGGAATCGAATCGTAAAATTGATCCATGAGCCATGTCTTTCCACGCCCTACACCACCCCACATATATACACCTCTCGGTGCAGTTTGACGGCGGAAACGACGAAAAGCTTTTTTCGATGCTTTATAACGATTGATCAATTCTTGCCATACCCGCTCCAACTCATGTACTGCTTGAGCCTGAGCATCATCTGGTAAAAACTGTCCAGATGACAATGCTTTTGCATAACGCTCAGCGGGTGATACGGGAGTAAATGCTGTTGAAGTTGTATTCTGATCTAACATATCATTTTGTTACTTTTAAAGGCTAAAGGAAGTATATCGAATATTCATTTTTGATAAATAAAACTTTGGGATAATTCTAACTCTATATCTCATATCAGCACTACCTGTTTATTTACCATATTGACGCGGGCTTTGCCCAAACCAACGTTTAAAAGCATGATTAAATGCAGCGGGTTCTGAGTAGCCGAGTAATTCCGCAATCACCTCAATTGAATATTCCTTATATTCAATCAATCGTAAAGCTTTGTGTTTAATCAACTGTTCCCGAATTTGTTTATAACTGGTATTTAATTGCTGCAACTGGTGGCGCAAGGTTCTTTCAGGCACATTCAACGCCTGTGCAACTTCAGCCATCGACGGAATAATCCCTTGCTGTAATTCCAAATAATCATTTACCCGTTGAATCAACGGCGCAATTTTCTGTTCTTCGGCATTTAATCGCTCAATTTCAGCAATACACTTGGCTTCGTAAACCCGATGTGTAATCGGATCTGCGGATGGAATCGGCAGTTGCATCACATCTTCATTGATCCAAAAAGCGGCTTTTTCACAATTAAAATGTAAATCTGAACCATAATAATCATGATATTGCTTTAATACACTTAAATCCTGAGGCTGCTGAAAGGGTAACTCGATTCTCACGCTGGGCGCTGTAAGTCCCATCATTTTATAAATATCATCCAGAAATTTATAAGTTCCAGAGATTTCACATTGCGCTCTCAACAAACCCATTTCTGTTTCTAAGTCTACAGGCTTGTAGGTTAATGCGACTTGATGATCGCCTTTCTCAAGCCCTAAGACACCGTATAAATAGGTTAAACCCTGATAATGCACACCATTTTGAATCGCATCACCAACATTACTACATGTCACCAAGAGCATGAGTAACGGACCATAACCCGCCAAAGAATAATGTTGACCGATAAACAAACCTGTTTCTGGCTGCACACCCTGCCCAATCACTTTTTGTATATCCCACTCTAAGCTGGGATGAATGATTGAACTGGGATCAAGTGCATCTGCTTTGATCCCAATACTAGCAAGTCGTGAATCTACATCGATTCCAGCATTACGCATACCATGAATTAAATACATTAAACCGAGAATCGAGCGTTTCATTGGATCATCATTTGATTTCTACCCAAACTTTGTACTACAAAGATGGTTTTTTGCAAATTGCCGAATATATCAATTTTTGTGTCAGTGCAATCATATTTCAAGCGCTGCATTTCCGATATTCTATGCAAAACTGGAAAAGTCAGAGCGAACAAAAATGAGTACAGCCCCTACGACTGAAGCAAAAACCCAATCTACGCAAGTTGCAATTATTGGATCTGGATTTGGTGGTTTAGCCATGGCAATCCGCCTATTGCAAGCCAATATTCATGATTTTATCATTTTAGAAAAAGCAGATGATGTTGGTGGTACATGGCGTGAGAACCAGTACCCAGGTGCGGCTTGTGATGTTCAATCACATATGTACTCGCTTTCATTTGCACCAAAAACAGATTGGTCAAAACGTTATGCCGAAGCGCCTGAGATTTTTGACTATATTCAAGATTTAATTCAGCAATTCAATTTAAAGAAATACATCCAATTTAATCAAGAAGTGGTGTCTACACGTTATGATGAGCACAATTTCAATTGGCATTTAACACTAAAAAGTGGACAAAAAATTGAGGCTCAATTTGTTATTTTTGCATCAGGACCATTGCATGTACCACAGATTCCTAAAATTAAAGGGATTGAAAAATTCAAAGGTGAGGTTTTCCATTCTTCTCACTGGAAGCATAACTATAATTTAAATCAAAAAAATGTAGCATCCATTGGTACTGGTGGTAGTGCAATTCAATATATTCCTGAAATTGCTGCAAAAGTTCAAAATCTTTATGTATTTCAAAGAACCCCTGCTTGGGTGATTCCTCGTGATGAACGCGCTTATAACGCGCTTGATAAAAAACTATTTAGTCGCTTTGAATGGTTTAGAAAATTACACCGTGCTCGCTTGTACTGGTCAAATGAATCACGTGTCGTCCCCATTGTAAAACCACAAATCATGAAATATGGTCAGAAACTTGCTGAAGCTTATATAAAATTCCAAGTCAAAGACAAAGAAATCGCCAAAAAACTGACCCCTGACTATATTATGGGCTGTAAACGCATCCTGATTTCCAACAAATACTTTCCAACATTTAATTGTAAAAATGTTGAATTAATCACCGATGGAATTCAGGAAATTACAGAAAATAGCATCATCACTAAGGATGGCAAAGAACGTCAAATTGATTGTTTAATTTATGGTACTGGTTTTATTACAGACCCACGCATCTATTTAAAATCATTTGATTGCTATGGTGAACACGGCGTTGAATTAAAAACAGCATGGAAAGACGGTGCAGAAAGTTTTTATGGGATCAGCACCAAAGGCTTTCCTAATCTATTTCAATTGCTTGGTCCAAATACCGTACTGGGTCATAACTCTGTAATTTTCATGATTGAATCTCAAGTGAATTATATTTTGCAATTGATTCAAATGGTTGCAAAAACACAGACGCAAGCAGTGACGGTAAAAGCTGAAGTACAAGATCAATTTAATGAAAATGTACAGCAACAGCTTGCAGGCACGGTATGGCAATCAGGCTGTGTCAGTTGGTACCAACAAGATGGCGGTAAAAATTTTGCATTATGGCCAACCTATACCTGGAAATTTTGGCTCAACACCCGCAAAGTAAACCCAGCAGATTTTCGCTTATTAGGCCGTGAGCAAAGTGCCAAGCAAAAGTCAAAAGCTGCATAAACTTGCTTGATATTCTTCTATAAATTTTCAACCGCTTTTCTGCGCTTCGACTATAATAGATAGGTATCCATTGCCTATCTATTTTTCATGCAATCACTTTGGCTTATTTTCCAACTTTTATTTTGCTTATGCTTAGGGTTTATTTTAGCCCGCAGAATTCCACAATCCATTGAAAAAATAGCTTTTAAAATACTGCCTTATTTTACCTATATTCTTTTAATTGCGATTGCAATGGAGTTTTCTCAAACAATTCATAATATTGCCAGCCCTGCACAGATTCTCACCAGTTCAATCACAATTGCATTCACCACATCAATAGGTGCATTTTTTTGTTGTTATCTAGTATTTACAGCGATTGGCTACAAACCATCACAAGGTAAAGTTTCTGCTGAATTATTGATGGGTTCATTACTCAACATCAGCTATGCATTTATTGCACTGGCTGTAGGTTATGGCTTAGCAGAGTTGGCCCACCTTTTCCATGTTCCACTGCATGTCAGCACATGGAATTTACTTTTAGTTTACATGTTACTGATCGGCTTGGATCTGGCTTACTCGCCACTGGATCGTTCTTGGTTAAACTGGAAAATTATGCTGGTACCGATTGCCTGCGTGATTGGCTCACTATTGGGTGCTGTTGCGGCATTTTTCTTGATTCAAGACATCAGTATGAAAGATTTAATCATGTTATCGCAAGGTTACGGCTTCTATTCGATGACAGGGATTGTGGTGACTGAATTAAAGAATGCCCATCTGGGAAGTATTGCGTTAATGAACGATTTATTTAGGGAGATTTTTGCCATTTTATTTATGTATATGATTGGATGGCGTTATCCACGTTCAGCAATTTCTTCTGCTGGTGCAACCGCAATGGATGTCACCTTACCTATGGTGAAACAAGCTTGCGGCAATGATTATATTCCACATGCAATGGTCAGTGGTTTTGTTCTGTCGGTATTGGCGCCAATTGCGGTAAGTGTTCTGGCTGCACTTTAAAATTAAGCGCAGAATATCGTACTTTATCTGACGAGATAGCAATACTGATCAATAGAATCACTGGAATAAAAAGTTTTTTAAACTTCTGAAAAAAGACCTAGTAACGCAGGCACACTACAGTGTATACACAGCAATTTTTATTATATAAATCAAAGAAATCACCCTCTTGATCAACTGAAAAAGAGGGTTTGTTTTTATAGAGTCGCTAAAATATCTTGCAGGGTTTTACTTGGATGTTCAGATTGAGTAATTGGACGACCAATCACTAAATGAGTAGAACCGTCAAGCATGGCCTGCTTAGGCGTTACAATACGCTTTTGATCATCTGCATTTGCACCAGCTGGACGAATCCCTGGTGTTACCAAAGCAAATTCAGCACCCAAATCCTGACGTAACATTTTGGCTTCCTGAGCCGAGCATACCACGCCATCCAAACCACTCTGTTGCGTCAATTTAGCCAGACGTTTCACTTGTTCAAATGGCTCTATGTCTAAACCAATATCACGCAAGTCTTCACGTTCCATTGAAGTAAGTACAGTAACCGCAATCAATTGAGTTTTATAGTTACCTGCTTTTAAGCGTTCTACACAAGTTTCCATCATTCTACGCCCACCTGAGGCATGGACATTGACCATCCATACGCCCAAATCGGCCGCAGCACAAACTGCCTGCGCAGTTGTGTTCGGAATATCATGAAATTTTAAATCGAGGAATACTTCAAAGCCCTTATCATGTAGTGCTTTCACAACCAGAGGGCCTTCATGGGTAAATAGTTCTTTACCGACTTTTAAACGACATAGTGATGGGTCAAGCTGATCAGCAATTGCTAGGGCGTCATATTGGCTTTTTGCATCTAAGGCAACAATAATACTCACGAATCTCAGTTCCATCACATAAATTTGCGCTCATTATAAAGTGATTCACGCCATGTACAAAGCCAGAAAATCGACTTCATCACAAAACAATCAACTATTCTTACATCTTGCTTATGATTTATCTCTGCTCTGAAATCAAAATTGCACGTGTGTCTTGCTCCAGTGCTTCAAAAATATGCGCTTGATCTGCTGGATAGGAAATATAGTCCCCTGCTTGAAGCAACTCAGCACTGTCTAATAAACCGACTTTGGCAGAGCCCTGCATGATAATAATATGCTCCACACTGCCAATAGGATGTGGTTTACTGCAACGCGGCTCACCCGGTTGAGTTGTAAGCATATACACATCTCGTCGTGCATTGGGTGGGCATGTCGCCAACAAAACAGCCTGATAATTTGATATTTCAGAAACAACTGAAGCACCTTCGCCATAACGAATCACTTGTGTGGCTTGAGCTTGTGCTTCCATAAGTTTGGCAAAAGGAATATTTAAAGCCACGCAAAGTGCCCATAAAGTTTCTAGACTCGGATTGCCCTGCCCAGATTCAAGTTGTGAAAGTGTGGATTTCGCAATGCCTGCACGTCGAGCAACTTCTCCCAAAGATAATGCAGCACTTTTTCTTTCTTTTTGCAGATTATTTGCAATGATTTCAATTGGTATAGACATTACCCTTCCAAAAAATACGATCGTTCAATTTGACGAAAAACAACAATAAAACTATTATAACAAATGATCGTTCATTTTATCGAACAATTTTATTACCCCAAGCAAGGCTCATCTCAATGAAGTATAAAGAAATAAAAAATTTACCCAAGCCCCT